AAAAAAAAATGGTGTAGAGGGTGGGGGTCATACCTCTTTAAAATCTTATGATAGATAGCACCAAGTAGCCCATTGCCACCACTGCCAAGAGGAAACAAACAAATGTCCATGTCAGTTTCTCAGGGTAGCCAAAATGCACAAACCTAAAATTTTGGAGATCACCACTGCCTACCCTGGTATCAGACAGGTGCTCCAAGAATGCAGGCTGCTATCCCTGTACAAGGAGGCACCCAGGAAAGGGGGTGGTAGTTAATTCATGCCTCKTCCTTCATGAAGCACCCCCTACAGGTTCTAAGTGTCTGAAGAGGTTCCAGTGTTCCCAAACAGTTGATTCCAATTGATCTTGCCAGATCAGTAGATGATTCAGAGCAGTGATCACCGTAGACTTTTGTGGAATTTTGCAAGCCATCATTCCTGCTTCATATATTCTTAAGTTATATAACTAGGTACATACCCACAAGCACATCATAAAGGCATTTTAGTCCATGACAGACTGCATGTGATGGAGGTTGCATATTCTACTACCCAGGGATGTCTGTCTGTCTTAGATGTGTAAGTATGCTTTCTGATGTTCACACAATGATGAAATTACCTAATGACACATTTCTCACAATGCATCCTTAATGTAAAGCAACACAGAACTGCTTAGGTTATGATTTATTGATTAATTGACTTTTATCATTAAAGGATGCCCTTCTTTTTCCTCTCGTAATATTGTCTTGAAGTTCATTTCATCTGATATTTAACACAGTTACACCAACTTTCTTATTGATAGTATTAGAGTCATGTATTTCTTGATTTCAACCTATTTCCACTTAATATGCATCTCTGGTAAACTGCTTCTTGAATGTCAATCTGAAAATCTTAGTCTTTTATTTAATTTATGATGTAATCATTGATATCTTTCAATCTAATGGCTACTAGTTAGCTATTTGTTTTTTCTATTTATCTTCTCTAAACTTCTTTGTTCTTTTTCTCTTTCTGCCTTGAGTTGATTGAGCTTTATGTTTTGGGTTTATTGTTGTTGTTACTTTAAAATTAGCATTGCATTCTACCTTTTCTGCTTTGGGGTAACTATTGTGTGTGTGTGCATTATGATTTAAWCGTTCACACATAATTTAAGTATCTTACAATTCAAATTCCTTTATGCAATTGTCATATATTTGTTATAAACCCCACAATATACATATCATTTTTGCTTTATGTAATCAATGGTCTCTTTAAGAACTGAAGAAAAGAATAGCATATTTACCCATATATCTACTATTTCTTTCCCTCCTGTAGATCTGAATTTAATTTTGGCATCAATTTCTTTTTATCCTAAAGAACATTTTGCATTTTTTTGTAGTGTCCATCTCCTGCAATGAATTCTGTAAGTATTTACTTGCCCCTGAAACAGTTTTATTTCACCTTCATATTTGAAGAATACTTTTCCTGCATATGGAAAATGATTAGCTTTTCTTTTTTCAGCATTTTAAAGATGCTATTACACTGTCATCTGTTCTTCATTTTTCTTAATGAAATGTCAATTATCGTTCTCATTGTTGTATCAGGTATTTTTTGTTTCCCCAGCTCCCACTTTTTAAGGCTGCCCGCCAGCACACCCCGCCACCTGCTGTACTGGGGATTGAACCCAGGGGCCCTCTACCACTGAGTTATGTCCCCAGTCCTTTTTTTATTTTGAGGCAGGGTCTAGCTAAGTTGCTTGCTTTCTTCTTGGTTTTGTGTCATACTGGTCTCAAACTTGCAATCCTCCTGCCTCAGGTTCATGAAGAGCTGGGGTCACAGGTGTGTGCCACCATGCCCAACCTTTTAAAGATGTTCTTTCTCTTTCAGCGTTTGGCTACAATGTGACTAGGTGTTTCTTCTTTATACTCATGCATATCCTGCTTTAAGTAGAAGGGGATGCTGGAGGTGTAATTCAGTGGTAGAAAAGATGGTTACATGGTTGAGGCCCTAATTTAATCCTAGTGCCCGCAACAAGGCCTGCGCACGCGTGCACGCACGCATACACACACACACACACACACACACACACACACACAAAGAGGTGTTAATAAAGGCGAAGCGAAACAATTTTACAACTTTGTTATGCTCACAGTCCTCCGGGGAGAAACAGCATGCCAATGCAGGGCCACTCAGGGGAAGTGAGGGAATTGGCTGGGCATAGAGGAAATGTGTGCAGGATCCTTTTTTCCCCAGGAGGGAACGGTCTCTGATCGTCTACACCTGGCCATGTGGATGGCAGGGTGAGCACCCAGTATAGGAGATGGCTGGGTGTGAACTTAACTGGTCCTCTGGCCTCTAGCCAGGGCCTCAAAACTGGGTCAAGACAGCATTAAAAAATACAAACTATTACAGGGAGTTACCGAGATGCTTGGATTCCTAAGTTTGATATTTTAAATCTTAACTTTAAAAAAAAATGGCCATATTTCTCTAAATAYATTTTTTTCTTCTGCCACATTTTCCCTCCTTTCCTGGGACTCTAGTTACATATTTGTTATATTTTCTCACAAGTTATTGAATCCCTGCTCATTAATTATTTTTAATCTTTTTAAAAAATTCTTTGCTCTTCAATTTGGATAATTTCTATTAAACTGCCATCAAGTTTATCCATCTTTTTTTCTGTAGTATTTTTTTTTTGTTGTTGTTGTTGTTTTGAGTTAGAGTGGGTCTATTTATTTTGTCTCCAGTCCTAGGGCCTTAGAACCCAAGTTCTAAGATACGGTATTTAAGAATAAGTACACAGGAATAAAACAGAATATGCTGAAGGTTCACATCTGAGTTTTCAGTAAAAAGCCTGCCTGAAATATTTATCAAGTCCCTCTAACTTAATGGGATACAAATTCCCAACTTTTCCTCCCCAGTGCCCAGCACTTACTGGAATCTTGACTTGGTTGTTCCAGCCTTCCCAGTATTGCTTTCCACTGGACCTTTTAGAATCCTGCTGTTTATGCCCAGTGAAGGCAGCTGAGGGCTCCAGGGGAACATGTAAGGCAAATTCTGGGAGTCTGGGGCTTCTCCTTCTGGGATTTCCCCCTTCAGCTTCTAGCTACTCAGCCAGCCCTGACCTACCTTGGTCCCTCATTTTATGTCCTATTTCCTGTGGGCCACAGGAGGTACATTACTTTAAACGGAAATTTTGCCCAATGTATTTCTCTTCTTTTGATAGTTGAAAATTCAAATGTTGTCTTTAGGATAGCCAGGCACAGTGGCACATGCCTGTAATCCTAGCAGCTTGGGAGGCTGAGGCAGGAGAATGGCGAGTTTAAAGCCAGTCCCAGCAAAAGTGAGACACTAAGCAACTAAATAAAATACAAAAAAAAAGGGCTAGGGGCTGGGAATCAGTGGTCAAGTGCCCCTGAATTCAATCCCTGGTACACTGCCGCCCCCACCTCCGAAAATTTTTCTTTTAAATTTTTTTCTTAGTTGTAGTTGGATAAAATACCTTTTTTTTTTTTTTTTTAAATGTGGAACTGAGGATCGAACCCTGCGCCTTGCCCGTGCTATGCGCTCTACCGCTAAGCCATAACCCCAGCCCCAAATATTCTTGTGGACCTATACAAAGTAGGAGCTCAGAGAACTGGTAGAATAAACAAAGACCATGCCACCCTCTGAAGAACTCAGCAAGAAGGCAAGGCCCAGCTATTTCTGATGCCACCTTGTCTTAAGGTTTGGCTCCCTCTCTACCAAAGTTGGAGCTGTCAGGGCTGCCTGCCTGCTAGATTCTGCCTGGGGCAGCTCCTAGAGGTTTGGGGCCTGGAGGGGACCTAGGTGCTACCCAGAGAATCCATAGCATTGGCTGCAACCAGAACCCAGCTCCGAAGTGAGACAAGACTTCAGGTAGAGTCCTCCATCCCGTCACTTCCTGTGCAACTTCTGAAGCAGTTTGACTTTATAGATTTGCCCTTCCTGGACATAAAAACTGAATGACTGGCCAAACAGTTTGAAAGAAGAGAGGAAAAAGTTTATTGTGTTGAGCAGACCTTATTTTCATTACAGTATCAGGAAATTCTTTCTCAATTCCCTTTGGATGCAGAGATTCTGCAGACATTTAAAACCCCAATGCTGTTCCCAAGCAAGGGGCAGGCAGCACCTGAGCATGATGTTGCATTTAAAGGAACAGGATTACAGCAAAGTAGCATGATTTATAAAGATTTTTAAAAACTACATGATTTCTTTAAAAATTCTAAGCTTTACCTCCATTTTCCCTGTTTACCTTATTTCCATGGATAATTGGTGGGAAAACATGGTAGTTGATACTCTTTTGTTCCAAATTGTCAACCTTGGTAATTTGCCTTTTTGTTTTTGTTAAGAGGAATTGTGCCCATTTCTTTGGAAAATCTAAATTGTGACAAGTAAGGCAATGCATAAATACAGTTAAACCTTCCCCCATCTGGCCTCAGCACTGCTAAGGAATGGGAAAGGCTCAGGAGAGGGCCTCTTGCTTGCAAAACATCACTGCAGAGTTTAAACTTTATGGACTTCTTCTGGGAAACATGCAACTGCTTGAAGCTAATTTTGTGGTTTGTTCTGGCAAGTTCTTAGCATTCAGTGACACCACGGGGGAGAGAAATCCTGTACTCAACTCACTGACTCACTACCACTATATGATACACAAGTGCTGTTTCTGTACTATGTGGAGGAATCACAAACCAAATAATGAGAAATGTGTATCCACCAGATACTTTGAAATACCAGTAACAGCCTGAGCTAATGATGTCTAATTCGCCTGAATTAAATCAGATAATTACCAAAGTCCTCATTAAGATCTTTTTCTCACTACATTAAGGCAGAAAAATATGAATTTAAATAAAAAACCATTACCCTACCAAAGTAGGCATATGACAAGCTATATTTCAGTTGATTACCTCAGATTGTCCCCAAAATTCCCTCTAAAATCAAGTACTGAAAACACTAATTATTAAAATTACATAACAATGGAATATATATTTAAATAACTTTGCACATAATACAGCCTCCATTTTTTGTTATCAAGACAAAGTTCATCAGGTGGCTGGACATTTCCACTTCTATTTCCATGAAATTCTATCTAGAAAAATGGACCAGCTCTCATAACTCCTAAATTGAACTATTTTTTAACTTACGTCAAATTAGGAAGAGCAATGAACAGCAATCTTAGAAAAGGACTGCTTTCATGTAAGTAAAAATTTATTCATGGGGGAGATGGGAGTTAGGGAGTCACTTTTTTTGTGGGTAGAATTCAGGTAGTGTCCAAATTAAGGTGTCAGAGAAGTATACTTCTTACCTAAATTAGGAATTCTTTCCTCCCTATCACCTGGGCCAGTCTTTCAATAACTGATTTCCATCCCCAGCCCTCAGCCTTCATTCAGGAGCCCAGTCCCCCAAACCAGGTAAAAGTTATTCAAGCAGAGTTTTAACAAAACTCAGAACAGGACAGGATGTAAGAACAGAAGAGATTAAGCTCCATTTATGCAAATTGTTTCTTAATATACATAATTCATGTAATCTGCGTCTCCCAGGAATCAAACACAATGCATAGGCCTATCAGATAGCTTAGATATGCACACATCAGTATGTTCAACTTGAAATGCAACATTCTGACAGACTCACAGTCAATCTTATAGAAAACCAACATGCTATCACTGTCCATGTGGGTAAGTATTCAGCATATTTTTAACCAAACCCAGGAGTCCAGAGACTCTGATGGTGGCATGCCCCCCAGCCCAGAAGTAGGCAGTGATGTCAATCACATATCACTGTTCACAGAACATAAAAACAGGCTCACAGTCCTGCATGTCACATTATTTCATATTACTCTGCCAACTGATTCAAAAAGGAAACTCTCTACTATGGCATGATGAAAAAGAAAGAAAGAAAAAAAACATTACATACAAATGTTTTCTAAGAACAATGTGCTGTGATCAGTTCCCTGAAGCTAGAACATTCTGCACAATCAGCTCTTGCTTCTTGGAAAATAAAATTTCTTATCTGTTTTTTTAGTCACAGGATGCTTTCTCACAGTAGAGACAACAGCAAAGCTGATTAGGATCCCATTTTAGTGGCAACATCCTTTCCTGGAGCATTTGTTTAATTTGGAGAAGTGATTATGCCACATGCAGCCAGGAAAGAAACTGGCAGAAGGAAGGTCTAGACCACTCTAGAAGCTGGGCCTCACATAATCAGCATCAGCTATTAATAAGACAGATGTCAGGATGGTGACAAAAGAGAGGCAATGAATGACATTAGGACACACACCCTACAAAGAATACATTTTACTCTGTATATCTTTCTTCCATGCAGAATAAGCATAAGACCAGAGAGCCGGGAGAAGGATGGCTGGTGGGAACAGCATTTAAAAGCATGTCCTAGTGACTCAAGCATTTCCTGCTCGACCTCCCAGACGACACAATGGGAAAATGCACATTTCTTCCCACAGTTGTAGACAGCAGCTGCAGCAGTCTCTCTGAAAGCTTAACTAAATGTGAAGATGAAGCCTCGACAAATGTTTCTTGATTCCACTGATCCTATTCCTTCAGCTGCTTGGACCAGGCAAGAGGTGGGGTGGGGCAGGGTGAAATCATGCCACAGCCTTCGTCACAGCAGCCACTCTGAGTGACCTTTCCAGTCTCAGACAAACTTATCTATTGAATTCTCTTCTGAGTTTTCCCCTACCCAACTTTTAATGAAATAATGAAACCAGAGTCAAAAAAGCTCCTCCAGACTGACTAGGAGGCTCCTAAGCTAACTTCTGCATTTGAAAACAGAAAAAATCAAGTTACTTGTATTTGTGATAAGATTGTGATTTTTTAAAAAGACTGCCCGTCAGCGTGTTACCTGGCTCAGAAGGGTGAGGATGTGGCTATGCACTTGTGCCAGCTCATTTTTAAAATTTCTTGGTGATGCTGGGGCCTTGCTCATGTTAGGCCAACACTCTACCACTGAGTTCCTTAGCCTTTTTCATATTTTAAAAAAGCAGGCAAAAGAGGAAAGAATAAGCCTGTGTGAACGGGTAGGCAGATGTGGTGCCCATCAGTGCACAAACTGCTGAACTCTACGCGCCTGGGCAGAGATGGCATCTCACACCTGCACAGGCCAACACCACATCCAGGAACCTAACAGCCCATCGGTTAGGAAAGGCTGCTCCCATGGGGCGACACTGAGCCACTGCAGTGAAGACACACAAAATAGACTAAAGGGCTGACAGTGCTTTGTGATGCAGTCAAATTGTGTCAGAACTAGTGTGGACTCAGTCATTTTCTGGAAGTTGAAGGTAACCAACAGATCTAAAGTAAAAGGGATATGGGACAGTATAGAGAAAAATACAAGTTCTGAAGTCAGAATCCTTCCTGGACTTAGAAGCAGGAGCATTTTGGTAAGAAAAGTCCAAGCCAAATGTCCCCTGGGTCTGAGAGAAGAGTAAGCAGGAAAGGGCAAACAATACGGTGATCATCCTGAGGGAGCCCAAGCCCTCAGAGATGGATCACTAGAGGGACTTACTATGGCTGTGTCCAGTCAGGAAACTGATAACAGATGTTCTTTTAAGAAAGTGGGAGGAAAAAGTAAGGATTTTCAAAAGTACAAAAACTGTTTACAAAATAATTACCTAGAAAGTTCACTGGGACTGGGTAGAGAACAGGAATAATGTTTTCATTTCAAATTAGCCACAATACTACTGATGGTTTATAAAAGAGGATGGCCAATTTCTAGTCTTCCTCCCCCAACACACAGAGCCCTTCTACTGTGCTATCTTCCGTACCATCTCCCCAACCCACACCCATCCAGCTCCCAGATTAATTTGCTTAGCCACTGCACCAAGCCAACCTTAAAGATACATGATTGTTGGATGGGTTTCAATTAAACAACGATGCTAACACTTGGGAAAACAATGTGGGGTTGGTAAGGGGTGGGGAGAAGGGGGCTAGGAAGAAACATGTTGGCATAAACCTCCAGGTGTGTAGACCTTGGATAAGGCTTCTGCTGGCCTGAACCAGAACAGGTGGGCATCTGCAGTGCAGCCTGAGCTACAGGTAAGCTGAGGTAAGGAAGAACATGGCATCTCTGCTGGTCTCCTTCCCATGACAGTACAGCATGTATGTGATCATTTTGGTAAAAAAAGGACTTGTTTTCTTCCAGTTGCTGCTGCCATTTCTTCTTCTAGTAAGAAGACTGCTCTTTACAGAGTCCCAAAAGATCAGCCACTTGTCTTCCTCTGAGGTACATATCCAATAGAGCCTTAACCCCCCAAATCCAGCATCCACTGGAAGTCAAAGTCAAATGCTCAGAATCAAAAGGTGTGGCACACCTGCCCAGTCAATTACCAGCAGTTGTATAGACAGATCAGAAAAAACTAGCATTTAGTATAAAACTGTTTTTCAAATGGTGTCATTTCTTATCTTCTCCAGAGATCATAATTCTTCATGTTTCTGATATTCTATAGAGAAGGAAAACAATGGAAAATAAAACAAATTATCCTCTAGTTATAAAAGAGTGGGCATCTTTTATAACCTATGATTTGTACCCCCACCTCCACTGTATCACTTTTTCTTTAATTTTAGGAGCTTTAGTTTGATGTTTTTGAAAGCAAAAATAAAATAAAGGACACTTTTATTTTTAAAAACATTGAAACTACCTGCAAACCCCATTCCAAATGAATTGTCTTCACCGTGCAGCGTTAACTTTCACTACATGAGCAGTGTTTTCAGTCAGCGATCTTCTTTTCCCACTTATTATCATATAAATATTTCTCTACATATCAGCGTAGCTCACTTTTGGACGTTTAAACAGTTTTTATTGCTTTTGGTTTACAAATAATAATAAATTTCTTTATGTACATAATTTTTTTCTTGTGCTGAATTATTTCTTTAAGATAGATTCTCAATCAAGAATCTGAGGGCATAGCACTTTAAAGCCTGGTGATAAATACACTGCTTTTTAACAAGGGTGTCCTAATACACAAAGCCTCGGGAAAGCACACACACAGTTCATCACCATCTTCCCCAACAAAWGTGTCAATATGTCTACTTTTACTAATGACAGACTACTTTAACTTGATTACTGTTTGCTAAAATCCACTTAGTATTTGTGTTCTTCTCTTATTGGAACAGTGTATTCACATTCTTTTTCCATTTGTCTTATGGAAATCCTTCAGGTTTTATAAATGAATTTGAATTATTTTTATAATGACTATGTAACATTTCAGCATCATAGTACAGTCTTCAGGATGTACAGGCAAATCATTCAGGTCCATGTTCTGCATTTGCTTTTATATATTAGTTTAAAGCAGAATAAATCTTAACTTCCCAAGCCTGGTTTATTAATAGTTTTTTTTTTAAGTCACTTTTGTATTCAAATGAATATTTTTCAAGTGACTACCATTCAATATAACAGGGAGAACATAGTATAAAGACTTAAGTCCTTTTTATCCTTAGCTTGAATTAAATAGAAACATTTCATCCCCACCTCYGAGAACTATTTTAAAAAATCCATTTCCATATGCCTATTTTAAATAAATAATATATTTTTCAAATCAATACAATATTTTGTCTTGACCTAAGTTTGTTCATTCACTAGTGCCTAAACTAAAAAAATTGGGAATCTGAGAAGAGCTTCCCAAAATATCAGGCTTGGCTTCAATGGCACAAAACTCCTAAAGCTAAATAATAATCATGATTAAAGCATCCTTTTCCCCTCTCAACCAAAAGAAAGGAAAGAAAGGAGGAAGGAAGACAGGCAGGGAGGTGAGCAAATGAATTAATAAACATTGCTTAGAAGGCAAAATGAAAAATAGACATTGATTGATGGAAGGATTAAAGGGAGATTTATCTTTTCCTTTCATTCATCATTCTGTCATTTTTGCATCAAATCAGAAACACAGAAGAGCACTTACCCAAAGCCAAATGTCTGCACTTACCTTCTTGGCTCTGATTTTTTGTCTTCCCCTTATATAGTATTCCTATTTCTTTCTCTTTCTGAAAACGGTTCTGTAGCTGTTTGATCTCTTGATCATAGTCCTGCCACTCTGGGACAATCCGCACAGCAGCCTCCAGCTTGGGCTCTTTGGTCATTGGATTATTACACTGTAAAAACCAATAAACACAATTCAGCTGAGTTGAAGAAAGGGTGCATTAATATACAGAATCCAAATAAGTCTCTATTCTTGGGTTAAAAGTCCTAACTGGACAAAATGAACAATACTGAGAATCTCAATGATATAGTCAGAAGAAGCAATATGGGAGTGGGCTATATAAAGCTGTAGTTACTTCTTCTATGAAGAAGTTGTGKAGAGCTGCCAGAAGGCAACAAAAGCAAAAGTCCAATAGGAAAATTAAAAGGCACAGAAATAAGCCAGAAGACAAGAGTGACTCAGCAGTAGGTAAGTCCCGAAAACAGTCCCATCTGATGCTAGGGGAGTTAGCTTCCTGGGCGGGTGAAGAAGAACATCATAGACAGCTCACCAGATCAATGGTTTTTGCCCTTTTCTTAGAAGCATCATCACACCATGTTTCACACCAAAGCCATTCTTGAGGGAGGGATTTGATTGGCACCTGATGGATCATGTTATTGGGCAAATCCTGTTTGGTAAAGAAAATAAAACACAAGAATCTAAAGTTCTGGAGGAAATTTAAATAAATGCATTGCAAAGCAGTGATGTTAGATGTTCACTATGCATCACATACCAAACATAAATGTTTAGAACTAAAGGGGTCCTCACCAAAAGACTAAGAGAAATTAAGGAATTTATTTATGGCATTTTTGAAATTTCAAAATCTAGAGAATCCATGAGCAACTGAAAACTCTACCCATAATAAACAAGAGAAAAATGCTGGCTTATAACCACACTTCCTTCTAAGGTGATAATAAGAAAAATATTCCTGCTTACTTTTGAAAGTGAGTATAGAGAGGTGGTTCTTAAAATTTATAGTTTTCAAAAAAGAGAAGCTCTGAATCCTTCATGTGTTGAGCTCAGCTCCCAAAAAGACGAGGTCCACATTTTTCAAGTTTGTCACAATAAAAATGTTCCATTGCCCTAAGACTTACACAGAACAAAACACTGATGGAATAAAGTAAGGCTCTGGGTTCAATCTTTAGCAGAAATGAAAAGAAAGGAAGAAGAAGGCACTTGAAGGCATGGGAGAGCTAAAGGGACACTAAGAATTATGGGGACACAGGAGAAAAGAGACCCACAGAGATTACTCTAGAACCTGGGGTTTTCAGGGCTACATAGTTTAATAAGGTTCCCTGAGGCTTTTAATAGCAACTCAGGCCTAAGGTAACAAATATTTGTATATAAGGCCTGTGGTGGCTGAGGGGAGTTCTGGTGAGACCAGCTTTGGACTGGTGTACTAAAGGAACACACCCTATGATTAGAGACAGAATCAGCTCCACTAGAGACTGTCTAACTTCAAATCATCAAAATCCTAAACCTGGATTAAAATCATTCTGGACAACTATGCCCCCAAGTTTCTGACAGAATAAAACATAAATTCTGTTGAATGATACCATTAATCTAGACCTCAAATTATCTCCATAAATAATTGGGCAAAAACAATGACTGACACACTAAAAAAAAGAAAAGATATATGAGAAATGAGAACAGGAATGGCAGACAAGAAAATAAGATCCATGGTAACTCCATAATTGATACACACCAGATATCACACAAAGACTTTAAAGATATTCACTATTTAAAAATTTAAATTTAAAAATTTTTAAATGAGAATTTCAGCACAGAACTGAAAACAAAGATATCTAAATGAGAACACACAGCCAAAATATCATAACCAAAATAACAAAAAACAAAGACAAAGTTAAATAAAGTAGACAGCAAATAACAAAAATGAAGCACAGAAAGAAAATAAGGGAATAGAAAAAAGGATGTTAGAGAAATTCAGAGTTCAATAACAGAAGTTTAGCTTACGTGTAACTAGAATGTTAGAAAGTAGAGAACAGGACAGGAGCATTACAAGGATATCACAGGGAATTTTCCAAATCCACTCAAGAGACTTAAGAAACCCTAAGACCATGTAAGAAAAATCAAAGTGAAAAAGTAGGTATATATTGTAAGGAAATCTGCTGAAAGCCAATACAAATGTTAAACAGAGCCAGAAGAAAAACAAATAATCTCCAAAGGAAAAACAATTAGAGCAGTAAATAATACAGAAACATTTGAAAAAGATAATAGAAAGGTAAATTGTATTTAAAGTTCTGAAATACTAAATAACTGCCAAGCTGCAATTTTAAAGTCAGTGAAAATGTTCTTCAAGAATAATTGCAGGGCTGGGGATTTAACTCAGTTGGTAGAGTGCTTGCCTTGCATGCACAAGACTTGGGTTCAATCCCCAGCACCACAAAAAAAAAAAAAAAAAGAAAAGAAAGAAAGAAAGAATAAGTGAAAAAGAATGAAGCTGGATGGACCCTTACCTTGTATGATATATAAAATTAACCAAAAGATGTTTAAAAGACCTAACTGTAAGAACTAAAACCAAAAAAATCTTAGAAGAAAACACAGGGGAAATCTTCACGACACTGGATTTGGCAAGATTTTTTTAGATGTGACAACAAAAGAACAGTGGGGTTGGAGGTGGTAGGGATTAAACTAGGATTTAGCGTATACTAAGCACTACCACTGAGCTACTCCCCTAGCCATGCAACTCACAATTGATAATGGGTTAATATACAGAACATAAAGAACTCCAACTCAACAATAGCAAAATCAAGTAAAAATGGGCAAGATACTTCAACAGATATTTCTCCAAAGATCATAAACAAATGGCTAACATAAATGGCACATAAAAAGACACCCAATATTTTTACCTCTGGAGAAATAAAAATCAAAACTACAGTAAGATCTCATTTTAGGATGATTTTGTTCACTGAAAACTTTAAAGAAAAAAATGCTTTCAAAGACAATTAAATTCATTCAATGAATGAAAACAGACTTTGGGTGTTCAGGTAAAGTAAGCATTTTTCTACAGAAATTTTTATAATTTTAAAAGAAAAAGGTAATTGGATCATCAGAGTACAGCTTTGGCCCAAATATTTGATATTTGGGTGAAAAATCAGTGAATATTCCTTTGAAAGTTTGAATACTTCTCAGGAAAAGATAAAATACCTTTCTCTAAATTATTATAAACTGCTCTTATTACAGAAAAGTCAGTAATGTAATAGAAAATAATTTGTTTTTTATTTGTTTGTTTGGTTTTGGTTCTGTTCCTAGCAAAACAATRTAAGGCCTCTCACTAGACCCTGGACATGTATGGCTTGTTGTATAAGAAAATCAAACAAACAAACAAACAAACAAAGATCTCATTTTATACCCAATAGGATGGCAATTATTTTTTAAAAAAAACTGGGTGGGGAAAGGGGTGGAGAATAAGAAGTTTTGGCAACTGTATGGAGAAAATGGAACATTTATTTGTACATTTCTGGTAAGAATGTAAAATAATGCGGCTACTGTAGAAAACATTTTGGCAGTTCCTCAAGAATTTAAACAGAGAACTACCAAATGATTCAGCAATTACACTTCTTGGTATATTCCCCAAATTGAAAGCAGAAATTCAAATAGATATTTGCATACCAATGTTCATATAGCCTTGTAGACAATATTCAGAGGTAGAAATAAGTCAATTATCTATGAATAGATGAATAAATAAACAAAATGTATACACATATACCAAAGAATATTATTCAGACTAAATAGAAAGGAAATTCTGACATGCTACACAACACGGATGGACCTTGAGGACATTTTGCTAAGCAAAATAATCCAGACAAAAAAAGACAAATGTTACATGATTCCACTCATATGAGGGACACAGAAGTAAGCAAATTCATAGAGACATAAAGTAGAAAAGAATTTACAGTGGCAGAGGGTTACAGACAAGAGGATTATTTAATGGCCACAGAATTTTAGTTTGGGAATATGAAAAAGTTCTAAAGATGAATGATAGTGATGGTTGCATTACTATGAATGTACCTGATGTTACTGAATTGTACTTCCAAAAGTGGAAAAGATGGCATTTTATGTATATTTTCCCATGATTAAAAATAATATTAGGGCTGGGGTTGTGGCTCAGCGATAGAGTCCTCACCTCGCATGTGCGAGACCCAGGTTTCAATCCTCAGCACCACATAAAAATATATGAATAAAATAAAGGTATTGTGTCCAACTATAACTAAAAAATAAACATCAAAAGATAATAATAATATTAAAGGTAAAATAAAGACACATAGACAACAAAACTAAAAAAAAATTGATACTAGTTGAACAGACACAAAGAAAAATTTAAAAATATTTTTCATCAAGTCTACTGGCATACAAATAATGGGAGTCCTAGAAGAAGGAGGAACTAGAGGGAGGAAGGAAGAAGGAAGAAGGGAAGAGGAGAAGAAGAACAAGGTGTAAAAAGAATAGAAGAAATAATGAAAACTTCCCAGATGTAATGAAAAAAAATCTACACATATCCAAGAAGTTCAACATACTCCAAGTAGGACAGATTGAAATAGACTCACACCTCAACATATTAAACGATCAATAGAGAGACATAGAGAGAGGGTATCTTGAAACCATCATTAGAAATGCAACATGTCATGTACAAGGGATCTCACTAAGACTACATCTAATTTCTTATCAAAACCCACGGAGGCCAGAAGTCTTTAGAGGCCAAGATATTCAAGGGGTTCAAAGAAATAAAAACTGTCAAGCAAAAATTCTATTCCCAGCAAAACTCATCAAAAATAAAGGAGAAACTTCCACGCCCTATGAAAGTTTGCAAATAGTGAATTCACGCTGTCAGAAATACTAAAGAGGGTCCTTAAGGATGAAATGGAATGACACTCGAGAGTAACTGGGATCCACATGAAGAAATAAAAAGAGCACACCAGTAAATATTAGAGATAGTACCAATGCATTTCTTATTTGGAACTTTTCCCCCTCCTATCTGGTTTAAAAAACAACTATGAAAAGAAATAATTATAAATCTGTTGATGGGCGCATAATACATATAGACTATATAAAAATACAAAGGGTTAGCTCCCCCTGCCCCCAGTGGGTTGGGGGTGGGTACAGGGATTAAACCCAGAGGCACTTTATCACTGAGCAAGATTGCCAGTCYTTTTTATTTTTTAAAGTTGCTTAGGGCCTCACTAAATTGCTGAGACTAACCTCAAACTTGCGATCCTCCTGCCTCAGTCTCCCAAATCACTGGGATTACTAAATGAGGTTGTTGTTTATGCTTTGAAATAATTCTTTGGTGTATTTGAATATGCATATTTTTGTTTTGTACACTCCATGGACACTGCATAGCACAATAAAGGTTAGAATTTTTTTTTTCTTTTTTTATACTGGGGATTGAACCAGAGGTACTTAACCACTGAACAATATTCTAGCCTTTTTAAATATTTTGTTTAGAGACAGGGTCTTGCTCCATTGTTTAGGGACTCACTAAGATGCTGAGGCTGGCTTTGAACCCATGATCCTCCTGCCTCAGCCTCCCAAGCCTCTGGGATTATAGGCATGTTCCACAGTGCCCAGCCAAGGTTAAAAAAAAAAAATGGGAGGGTTGGTAGGGGGTGGTTACTGAGAATTGAACTCAGGGGCACTCAACCACTGAGCCACATCCCAGCCCTGTTTTATATTTTATTTAGAGATAGGGTCTCACTGAGTTGCTTAGCACCACACTTTTGCTGAGGATGGCTTTAAACTAGAGATCCTTCTGCCTCAGGTGTGTGCCACCATACCTGGCAAAATTTTTAAGGCAACTTAAGCAAAACAAGTATATGAAACTATGTATTTAAAACACAGCTTTTGGGACTGGGGTTGTGGCTCAGCGGCACAGCACTCGCTTCTCACGTGTGAGACCCTGGGTTTGATCCTCAGCACCACATAAAAATAAGTAAACAAAATAAAGATATTGTGCCCATGTATGTATAAATAAATAAATAAGTCACAGCTTTTTAAAACTCCAATATCAACTCTGAAAAATGCTTAGCATTAATAAACAATAATTCAGCTAACTTTCTTGCAACATATCATGGTTTCTAACAGAAAAAAGGGAAACTGCAATACTACACTTAATTATGTGAATCCTGAGCTATTTAGTTCCTAAACTGGGGCGGGAGGGTGGATTGACCCTACAGGAAGAGAAACAAATTTATCAGATGAGGTTAAATACAAAATTAAAAGATAAGGTAATGGTTCCGAAAGACAACTCCCTCCTTCCATGTCATCGACATCAGGTCTGTGACATTTTTTACTCTTGCTATGCCTTCTCTTGAGGTCAGATGTAAATGTCATACACACACATACACACACCTTTTCACGAAGAAATAAGACACAGCTCTGAGAGTAGAGATTTGAGACACAAATAATACTTTGTTTTTCTGACACAACACACTATACCCATCACTGAAACTATTAACCATAAAAAAATGGCCACTTACTTGGTCAAGATTTGAAAGGCTGTTAGGATCTTGACTCAGACCTTGGTACTGTCCCCTGAGTCTGTCACCAGCTGCTATTTTCCTAAATTTCTTCAGATCCACAACATAGAGTGCACTAAACAGAGAAGACCTCTTTTGTTAAAACCAACCATGGATTTATGGCAGAAAAAGAAACCCCACTGAATAATGGAATAGCCAAACATTCTGGTTTCTCTGTGAAAAGGTGGATTACAGCCCTATAGTAGAGTTAAATGTCAGTATATGATAACATGAAGATGAATAAGAAAGTCACTGCAAAGTTCCTACTCTGTCCCAGTAGCTCATCTTGGTCACTCTTCCTTATTTTTCTTCCAAGGAAATAATCTCTGGCAAAAGACTTCTACAAATACAGCATATTTGGAATAAAGCTACAACAACTGATAAAGAACCTTTAGTCAAAGATATCCTAATGATTCCCATATGTACAAAGGAAAATACCTACAGTATTATAGTGTTTTTGGACCAGGACCTAAAGACTGAAACTAGTCACCACATTGCATCAATCACCTGTAGGTGCCACTTCCTACAGGTAGGTCCCCTGCCCTCCAAATAGTCTAAATCACACTTTTCCCAGAGAAAACAATGAAGAATTTATTAGAAATGCAATGAATGTATACAATGATTAAATTAAGAAGTCTCCTTCTAGCAATCTATCCTATAAATATATCTGAAATATGCAAAATAATATATTTAAGAGATTATTCATTGCATTATGGTATGTCATAGGAAGAGACTACAAATAACACACATATGCGAATAATATACAGCTTAAAAAGGGGGAAAAAGGTCCCTCCCTATATAGTGACACAGGATCTACAGGTAAGGTATTTAGTTTTTTTAAAAAAAGTAACAAAATAGTATTAAAAAAGACGGTATATTTTGTATAAAAAAAGGACATACATTCATAGCTATTCATATAAAAATTAGCCTCCAGAAGAACAGATAGTAAATTTAGGGGAGGTTATCTGTTGTGGGGGTGGGAACTCGGTAAAAGAGAGAAATAGGAAGGTTTTTTCCATTGGTTTTTCCCCCCACAATTTTCATTTTTTAACCATATTAATGTATCACCTATTTGCAATTTTAAATACACATAATTAAGTTTAAAGAACAAAAACTACAAAACATTATTAGGCATTTTCTTTTTTCAGTACCTGATATGATACTTTCGCCCAGCTAAGTGACTAGCCCAGTACCCTGACTTCCAGAATCTGTAGCCATCCATTTCTCTTCGGCTATCACAGAAAGGAGTATAACCATAAGGGGCACCATCCAAATTGAAATCTCTTAACTCTTTCAGATCTGTTCGTACAATCTGGAGAAAAAAGTATCAAAAGTCATTTGTTAAGCCACCATGCAGACACCTCTAATGCAGTTTCCTTAGAATACAGAGTGCCTCACATAGGCGACAGGGAGGGCAGTTAGGTGAGTGATGGCACAGGCTCTAACAGACACACTTCAAGCCTAGATTCCTCCACTTCGTAGCAGGATGCTCTCACTAACATGGAAGACACTTAGCCTAGTATGTGGCAAATAATATTTTAACTATTCAAAAGAAGTAGAATAAACTTAAAATGCTTAGGTTTACTGTGTGTCCGTTTCCTCATCTATAAACTGGAGATGATGAYAGTCCCAATCTCACAGTGTTGTTGGGGGAATGACATGAGTTAACATACGGAAAGCTATGGAACAATGCCTTCTCCAATGTAAGTGCTCACAAGGACAGAATACGGCCATATTACAATCAGGAAAACATATTTCAGGTTGAGCCACCTGAGACAAGAGGTGCCAAAGAGGTAGTGAAACTTTTTTGTCCACATGACTTTTGCACACATTATATCACTTTCATTCAGGTAACTTGGGTTTCAAGCTGAGGGTAAGACAGAAGGCTGGAGGGCATAAGTACATTTATGCAATTTGAGTTTGTATGCTTTAAAATGTGTTCCTTGTGATTAAGTAAAATCCTGAAAACTGGAAGAATATCTGTAGCAGTCCTAATTATCAAGGCCAAGCATCCACTTGAGCTTTTTCTATCACCCAGACCAATAACACCTTATCTTTGGGGCAGAATAATGAAGATGGGGCAAATACTGTTAAAACTTTATTTCCTAATTTTTCATTTTTTTTGTTAAATGAATTACAATATAAGACTGCATTCATGATGTTATCACAATTACTGTTAAAAAGACACAGAAAAATTAAAAGGACATATAATAAATGCAAATTAAAGTTAAAAATTGATCACACCTGGGTGATACCTTCTATATTTTCTTAATAGTGTAAACATAAGCAGGCACTTTTTCATACCTGGAAAATAACATTTTAAAAACAGAAAGAAGTCTGTTGCCTTTAAGACAAATTATTACAATCTGGACTTTCAGAGCTTACCTGATCAGCATCCACAAACAGAAATTTGTCAACAACTAATGGGAAAAGTACATCCAGGAAAAGAATCTTGTAGCCCCAGATGATACGCTGTTTTTCAGTCTGTTGATGAAGCCACCGAGGCCATTTGTACTGAACAAGTTCATACTGGAAATTGTATTCATTTGCCATGTAAGGTATAAACTCCTTTTTTTAGACAAAGGGAACAACAATCATTCATTATGATTAAGAAAATTGACTTCATAATATAAGTCAACCACTGTGATTATGGTACAAGTAAAACACATTTACCAAAACAGCAGTCTAACAAAAAAATTGGAAACCAACTGACTTGAGATTACGTTAAAGAATATATGTAAACCTCCTGTCAAAACCCTTTCTTTTTGACTTTTAGTTACCCCATGAAATGACAGAATCTTCAGGTGAAGGCTTTAGATCTAAAACCAYGCAGGCGCGCGCATGCATACATACATGCACACACTTAAAGACATATGAACTTCAAGTTCATTTGTCTAAATCTGATTTCAGTAAAAATATTTTTTTAAAATAAAAATATTTGTTTTTTGATGATGCTAGGGATTGAACCCAGGCCCTTGGGCATTCCAGGCAAGCATTCTGCCTCTGAGCTATACTCCCAGCTCCCAGTTAAATATTTTTTGAGCTTGATTATGAGCTTTTCTCAAGGTTAGTTCTAACCAGGGAATAAGATGGCAAAGCCAAAACCACACATAAATTTATTGTCATTAATAAATAAAACTTTTAGATTCTAAATACAAATACGTTTAGGGGACCAGAATTATTTCTTTATAAGTGATGTTACTGAATATATTAAAAGATGCTTAGTGTGATAAAGGGGGAAAAATTAATTTAGGTGACAAATCCTAACTGATACAAATAAAGCAGAAAACTTCCCAGGTGTGTTTTTGTTTTGCATAGATGAAGCATCACTCCACACATCATCTGGCAGTGGTTCAGGAGAAAACTAATCCTTCTCCTCCACATAAACCATCACTGACTTTTCTAATTAAAGTCAGACATGCATGTTTCAGAGGAAGGGAATGCTATTTCATTAAAACACTGCTTCTTAAAAAGATTAGACTCTCCTATATTATCTAAGTTTCAAACAGGTCATAGTTTTATAACACATGTTCATCCCACAGAACAATCTGTAAGGAAAATCAACATAGACATGCACAACTAAATTAGGGTAGTCAAATAAAAGGGAAAATTTTAAAATATAAAGATAAAACAAAAGCAGTAAAAAAAAATATTGTAAATATCTCCCTAATAAGAATAGTTTTCTTTTCCCTATGAAACAAACCTTAAATGTGGGGGACAAATAATTCTTCAAGAACCAGAACTTCACAGGAGTCTTAGTATTCTTTAGCACTGATAGCATCATTATGCTGCCAAACAAAAACAAATAATAATAATAATGATGATGTTTCAATGCTTTTTAACTCAATAACATTAAGCAAAATCAATAACAAGGCAGCACAGCAAACAGAGACCCTTAGTAATGGAAAATGTACTTATTCTTATTTATAAAGTTATCACTGAATGGGAGAGAAGGGGCATTTCTCTATAAAAATATACCTAGCTAACTGAGGAAAATGTCAATTCTGCTGTACCTTTAAGTAAACTGCTTCATGAATTGATATATCAATTATAGTACAAGTAAACACTAGAGGTTATGGTAACTGAATATATCATTCCTCAACACCCCTGTCAAGGCACAGCAGCATTGGTCCTGAGAACATGTACATACATGCATTGCCTCCCTCAGACTGGACAGAGAGCCCTGCCAAGGAGAACAAGGAAGATCAAGGGGAGGACAGTGGGTACAGACTCAAGATTCCTCAATCAAGGCATTTAATTAAATAAATCATTACCATTGTCATTATTTTAGGTCAGAGGTTTTTTAGAAACTAAAGGATAAAAATGACATTTTGATTATTTTCTATATTAGATTTGCAGTGAAAATAAGAAAAAAGAGACCTGATTATCAGGCAAAGGGATATCTTCAGAACCGAGTCTCTCAAGTGCCTTCCTCTCTGGTGGCCTCAATGTCAACAAGTCAAAACCTATAGTCCCTCTTGTCTCTGGTTATGTGACCTAGGCAAGTCCTTTCCAGCTCTAGGTCTTAGTTTGTATAAAACAGAAGTTTTCTTACCTATGAACTAAGATTTCTCTTGACTCTGTAGAAGGTGAAGTGTTCATGGTCCTGTTCTATTCTCTATGTCCATCTCCTAACATTTAGTAGCCAAGTAAACAATACTATCTATAAAGTGTGCACATGATATTCAAAATCCATAGTCTTACAATATCCATAGAGGTGTTCACTACTAGGCTTCATGGAGCTGACCAGATCAAAAAAAGAGGACTGCATATAGTAAGCTACTCAAAGTCCTCAGAGTGCTCTAAATACACTTAAATACAACAGGCAGAATCCCAAAAAACCTCTAAATAGGAATACCATGATAAATTCACTTACAGACACCAAAATAATCAACAAGACTAACCGAAGAAATCTTTCATAGAGATGACCAGATGCAACAGAGAAAATGTTAATTATGTCATCTTTATCTTGTTTCACTTCTTCTGCCTTCTGGCCTCCTGAAAAGCCCCTGTAACAAGAGATAAAAACAGGATTCCATTATTCTACTGTTATGTATATCTAAAAAGAACAAATAAAATAATTATTAAAAACAGAACAACAACAACAAAACAAGACTCCATGAGATGCTGGAAAGACAGTGCCTTCCCATTCCTATTCTTGCCCAAGAGGGTAAGAAGGGGCAGAGGTGTCACAAAGCACCCAGCACTCTGGGAACAGGAACAAGGCTGAGAAGTCCACCCACAGGCTAACAAGGAGGATGCTCATGTTAACAAGGCATTATGTTGCTTTAGGAATAAGTGGCACACGGGCTCCACAGACACAGTCTGTACAATCAGAAGTAAACTAAGCAATTATCAATCACTTCTCCAAAGAGCAGGCACAGCCCAACAAAAGTTAAGAAGCATGGAACAGAAGTAAGTCCATCAGGAGACACTAACCTCCTTTGGTTAATTAACTGGAAAATACTCATCTATTCCAAAGTAAGAATACTCACCTATTCCAAATCTGGCTACGAGAAGCAGAATGGAAAGTCCCAGATACTAACTCAAAAGGAGGGATGGATGGTGCTTATATCTGTTTTTCCTTAAAAACATTATTTTATGATGCCAATTTACCATTTGAATGAGTCCCAAAATCCAGATTCATTCTCATTTGTCCCGTCACTCAGCAAGTCTTCGTTCACCATGTCTGCCTTCTTCTGAACCTGCAATTTACATGGCAGATTATATTCCTCCTAGTATGTCCAAGAGACGTAAAACTAACTTACACTGGATGTATGCTGTGAATTCTCTCATAAGCAGTTACAGCCCCAGATGGAGCCTATCAGAATTCAACATAAATGCCTTCATCTGATGTTCACATTAGAGCCTTAAGTGAGAAGACAGTCATCTCTTTTAATGAAATAACCATTTTTAATTTGTATAATGAGCAAAGAACCTCAAATTCAGATGCATTGAAAATGTAGTCTAAATAAAACTAGAGGCACAAGTCACCAAGCTAACAGTGGATTCTAGGAAAGAGACATTTAGGTCATGACCTGTTTTCAGGTTTTACTAACACAAACACAGGGTGAATTTTCTCAATAGCATGCTTTTCTGCTCAACCATGCAGGCTGACTCTATGTTTTCCTGTGTGTAATGATTATTTATTCCAAAATACATTTTACTTTAATTGAAGGCACAAAGAACTTCAAAATGTTGAGGAAGAACTACCATTTCATTGTTCAATTTTCACTGTCATTTTCCCCGAATATTCTGAGAATGAAAACATGAATAATACTATAAATTGTGACTACATAGCAACACTTCTCTACTGAAAACATTTTATATAACATGGGAATGATTGCTCACTGAGACTACCCAAAAGGTACGATCTCTTGGTAAAAGAAAATCACCAGTTCACATTTACAAAGACATTGTGGCTTAAAGCAACATTCCTAATATTGCTACAGTAAATTCCAAAGAGAATCCTTGGGCTGGTTTCAGCACTCATTCCTCCCCCMCATCTATGGGAGACATATTCAATGACTCAAGTCTCTCTGTGGAGCCTGAAACCTCAAGCCCTGTATATACTATCTTTTTCCCTATACACACCCACCTGTGATAAAGTTTAATTTATAAGTAAGGCACAGTAAGAGATTCACAATTAAAAAAAAAGAACAATTACAGAGATACATTATAATGAAACTAAAGTGAATGTGGTCTCGGTCGGTCGGTCTCTCTCTCTCTCTCTCTCTCTCTCTCTCTCTCTCTCTCGAAAATCAAGAAAAACAGTAGTATTTTCAGACCATGGCTGACCATGGGTGACTGAATCCTAGCGTAAAGGAGGAACTGCTGTCCGTATTTTTACATGTTATCATCTGAACACAGAGTACTACTACTTTGACCAACTATAAAGAGGGCTGTCTTTCATACAGCAAACTCACCTTCACTTTAATAATTTTGCTTTTGAAGTTGTTGAGGACGACAACCACCTCATCAGCATCAGGAGGAGAATCTGTACCGTCGTGGCTTAGAGAGAAAAGCAATACAGACATTACAAACCATAATTCTCAAAATGCAGTAGATGGTCAGCCAACAATATGCCCTATTTTTTCATCACCTTTATCATAAAGGAGTTTTTCAGAACCAGTAATTTCCTCACAACCTGAAGGAAACCCCTTCAAGCTGCATAGAAGCACCTGTTGAGCTCTCTATATGGTGAGTACCCAAACTTCCTTCAAAAGTTCTCCTCCGAATCACTTGTCATAGACTGAGAGGTTCCCAGGCATGGAACACGCACGTGGTGAGCACTGAACAAGAGCATGTGCTCACAGGTCTGACCCACGCAAGGCACTCTGAGTAAAGAACCACAAAGGGGTTGGCTACTTTGAACCATCATGAGAACTACCTCACTTCTACTTTTTAATTGGAACAGCTTTATAAAGAATTCTACTCTCCCTCTGTCTGGAGGTATATAAACTGCCAAGTCAAGGCCCTGAACTCAATTTGGTGCCTCCAGTAAAAAGAACTATGATCAGGAAGAACTACAATTAATTTGTAGGCAGACACAACAGTGGAAGAAAAAATTTACATAAGGTTTTCCTACCAACCAATTGTAATGCTTAAAACTTCGAAACACCAAATTTCAAGGTGCAGAGGTCACAATAATAATGTGAATGCACTACATTTGCTGCCATACAGCACAGAACAGAGTTATCTGACAAAAATAAGGTTTTGACAGGGAAAAACCTGAAGTATGAAACACTCCAGCATCAGAGAATATCTACCCAGAGGCAAATGCTAGACAGCCAGGAAGAAAGGGGACCCCATAACCCTAAGGAAGAGGGAAGACAGGAAAGTCACACACAGAAGGGAGAGAATTTAGAAACACAATTAAAATTCTCTAAGACCATTATCTGGAGAAAACATTATTTGGAGAAAAACCCACTATTTAAAATAAAATGTTATTATAATACAAATTTCTATTTCCCGGGTAAGAAATATGAACTAATCTACATTGCTTTCATGTGTGTTAGTAATGCTATGGAGCCAAGGCAACACACAAGGGAGTATTTCAAATAAACTCTAATGAAAACCATTCTCTAAATAAATCGGTAGGAAATTTTTTCATAATCTAAAACTAATTTAAATCATTTTAAGCTGAATTTAGACCAAACTTATTTAAAGGCAGTATAATATTTTTTAACTAATAGATATGAGACATAAACCTTAAAGGCAAAAACCCAGCTACTGACAAAATGTTCTAGAACAGTTACTTCTTCCACACCACCACAGGGAAAAAATGGAGCAGACAGAATGGGCTGAGGTCATATGGCCTATGTATTTGCAAATCTCTCAGGTCGGATATACTCTCCAGGTAGAAAAGTTTGAATTTCTTTTTTTCTCCCTTCTTCAAATGACTAAATTTCTCATCTGCCTATAGAGTGCATCATAGTGATAAAATGATTTGATCCTGAGATAGTGCTGGCACAAAGGAATCACTGAAGCATAATACCTGACTATTACTCTCTACACCTCTTATTATTCAATTCTCTCTTAATAATTATAGCACATTTACTTTCCTGGAAAAGTATCACACATATGACTATAGATTAAATTGGTGATGCCTGGCAAAATGCCAGGGTAGTATCCAATTAGAGCTGATTCTCATTTCAAAATGCTTAGGAAAAATGTACCTGCATCACATAATCCTACCTGTAGATTCTATAAATATCTTCGGACCGTCCCTTTCTAAGTCTGAGAAGCCAAGCTCCTGGGTTGGCTTTTAGCTGAAAGTAGCCCTAGGAGAAGAAAAACAAAAGCCAAATTTTAGTTCCTTTTTAAAAACATCAAAATGCTGTTTCTTAGGAACAGTTACTCCTTTGGGTGTCTAAAATATGATATTTATCTTATAAATAAGATAGTTAACAAATTGGGCAATGCAAAAAAACAAAAACAAACCAAATAATTCAACTACACATTAGAAACTCTAGAAAATAGAGTTCAGTCAAGCCAAGAAGTCTGCCCTTAGCTGTGCTTCAGGGAAGAGTCAATGTTCGATGACTAAATAAGCTGTAAACTTCCTAAAGAAAAGAACAAGGTTGACAGCTCATGAATAATGCATTTCCAGGATCCAAATCAGCTAGAGCTTTGTATTGCAGCATGTTGATTTTTTGCTTTATTTTAAAAACTTGACATGTAATTCTATTTTCCAAATTTAACCAAACTAATGATATTTATGTTGCTTGTTTTGTTTTGTTTTCCTTTCAGTGCTGGGGATTAAGCCCAGGAAGGCCTTACACGTGCTAGATAAACATTCTACCACTGAGCTACCTCCCATCTCCAACCCTTAGCAATGTTGTATTTTAATATTTTATTTTTAAATTTCTATTTATTTATTTTTGCAATGGGGGATTGAACCCAAGACTTTGTGGCAAACTAATGATTTTTATATTAACCAAATTCTGTCAATTATGAATCGCATTCTCACTTTATGGTTCAGAATGCTGATTGTTCCATCGTAAATGACAGTACCCAACTCAATGTGACTGCTATCTCACCACCTGATTCTCTGATTATTTACCAGATTGGCCATAACAATGGTGTCCACAATRACTGGGTCAGCTGAAGTTCCCAATGTAAACTGCAGGCCTCGTGGGGGTTGGCCTGTGGTGATGTCATAGCAGTGGCCTTCTAGTAACAGATACTCCAGCTCATACTCAGCAGCCACTATGCTGTCCACCTGCAATATCAAAATCAAATTACCTGAGTCTATTCAGCAACAACACGGATGAGTCCAAAATGCATTTTTACAAAGTAATGAAGAAGTCAAAAAGACTTACATATTACATGATCATATTGAATGAAATTCAAGAAAAGGCAAAACTGCAGTGACAGAAAGCAAATCAGTATTGCCTGAGGCCAAGGTGGGGGACTGCCTGCAAAGGGGAATAAGGCCCTTTTGGCAATGAAGAAAGGTTCTGTATCTTGATCGTGGTGATTACTGATTGTGTATAATTATAAAAATTGGGTTGAAAGGAGAAAAAATAACATGGAAGTCATTCCAAAAATAGAATAATACTCCTAACATTATAGAAAAAATTTAAAAACCTAAATAAATGGAAAGGCATCCTACAGCCATGGATTAGTAAAAAACTTGTACATAACATTCACAGCAACATTACCCATAATAGCTCAAAGTAGAAACAACCCAAATGCCCATCTGTGAATGAATAGAGTGTGGTATACATATACAAAAGAATATTATCTGGTAATATAAAAGAATGAAGTACCAACACATGTGATAACATGGATGAATCTTTGAAGCCATTTTTTAGAGAAAGAAGCCAGTCACAAAAAGCCCTGTGTTACATGACTCTATATAGACAAAATGTCAGAATAGGCACATGCACAGTAATAGAAAATAGATTAATAGTTGCCTGGACCAAGGGAACAGGGATTGACTGCTAATGAGTATGGAGCTTCTTCTGTGGGTGATAAAACATATCTGGAATTAGTGGTAACGGCTGCACAGTTGTGTGAAACCTTTGGCCTGTACTCTTCAAAGGGTAAATTTGAGGGCATAAGAATACATCTGAATAAAGCTATGACTTTTTTTGTTTTTTTAATACTTATTTTTTAGTTTTAGGTGGACACAATATCTTTATTTTACATTTATGTGGTTCTGAGGATCAAACCCAGTGCCCTGTGAATGCTAGGCGAGCACTCTACCACTGAGCCACAATCCCCAGCCAAGCTATGGCTTTTTAAAAAATACATTTTACTCAGATACTAATTTCTCAAAGGTCCCTTGATTCATTTTATTCAGTCAACCACCACTAGTAACATCATAAATGGGTTTCATACATAATTAAATATTTGGAAGCAATGACATTCTTACCTCTTCTAAGTAAATGTTATCAAGGTCATATGGTGTTCTGACAGATTCTACCATCCAACTCTCAGGTGTGTTCAAGTTCAGAGTGAACAGTGGAGACTGTGGCATATCCAAAAACTTTGCTATTGGACCCTTAGCAAAGCTATTATCTGAAGTGAAAGAAATCTCTGGTTCTAAGACATAACGGTAAAAGCTGAAATTGAAAAAAAGAGTGTTAGATTTTTTTTCTAGGCAACCATAGTCCTTGAGTCTGCAAGCATCAATACAAGTAAACACAGCTTAAAACAAAGTAGATTTGGAGGAATATCCTTCCAGATTGGGAGAAGTACTTCCCAAACTATCGTTTAAGTTAATGATGCTTCCAGTTATAGATGCAGAAGAAGGGAAGGAGAAGTAGGATTGAGGAAGGAGCCATTCCTTCATATGGGTGACTGCAGTCAAGGTCACAAGCATTTCCTGAGCACTTTTTTTCCCTTGGGAAGAATCCAGTTTCCCCTTAAAAACTAAGTTCTGAACTAGGTGTGGTGGCACACATGCCTATAATCCCAGCAGCTTAGGAGACTGAGGCARAGGATTGTGAGTTCAAAGCCAGCCTCAGAAACTCAGTGAAATCCTGTCTCTAAATAAAATACAAAAAAAGGGCTGTGCATGTGGCTCAGTGGTTGGGAGTCCCTGAGTTCAATCCCTGGTACACAAAGAAACAAACAAGTTCTAAATGGTGATTGAGTTCTCAGGCTAGTCCTAAAAAAACACTACCTATAATAATTTAAACATTTCTTTATGGGAGGACAATGGTGAAAGCTGGGAACCCTTTGGTCACTTGCTAAGACTCTTTCAAAAGGCTCAGAATTTAACCTATAGAACATAGCACATTTGCAATTGAGGAATGTATGCTACACTATTAACTTCTTTTTATATTACTTTTTCCATAAATAACCGTTCCAAAGCCTTTGACAATAGAGAGCTAAGCCTGTTCTCTTTTTCAAGATACATGTAAACTAACCTAAGCAAGTTTTCTCTAATATATCCATTGCAACCCGAAGTGACCACTCCTTCAAGATGAAAAGCAAGTACAAGTAACCTGGTTTTTCACTAGCACCTAAATACTCCCAAGCCCACACTATGTTCTTAGAAGTTCAGATTAGAGCTAAGATTTGGCACAACTGAACATTTATTAAATGACCCTTTCAAGCATGAAGTCTACCTAAAATCCACTAAACTTCTTATTATTTAATCCTCCTATTGGATTTGGTTCCATTTTTCCAATTGTTGCCTTAAACAGTATGTTTTACCTTTTTAAAGGCATGTCCGAAAGTTTCGATTGGCAGTTCATAAATATCCTTAGGTTCATGTTTATAAGCTGAGTTAAAACCTAAAAGACCAAATCAAATGACAAAATGTTAAAATTTTCTCTTCAGAGATTTTGTTCTTCAAGAACATTTCTTAATATCTCAAGAAAAAATATAAAGCTGGGTGCAGTGGTGCATGCCTGTAATCCTAGCAACTTGAGAGGCTGAGACAGGAGGATTGTGAGTTCAAAGCCAGCCTCAGCAAGTTAACGAGGACCTAAGCAATTCAGCAAGATTCTGTCTCAAAATAAAAAGTAAAAAGGGTTGGGAATATGGCTCAGCTGTTAAGTGACCCTGAGTTCAATCCCTCATACCAAAGGGGGAAAAAAAAAAAAAAAGATAACTGACATAATGTCTGTAGTGAGGAAATTTCTGGAAATCACAACTCCTGCACAAAATTTACATCACATATACATATGACTTGGGTAGGGGGGGAAATAAGCTATCACATATCACTGCTCCTTTTATAAAGAAGTTTAACACAAAGTCATAGGGAAGCAACAGATACATGACAAATATCTATCTACACAAGGAAAACGTAAGGGCTAGGTGATAGCTGGGCACAGTGACACACACCTATAATCCCAATGGCTCAGGAGGCTGAGGCAAGAGGATTGTGAGTTCAAAGCCAGCCTCAGCAACTTAGCAAGGCTAAGTTTTATTCATCTCTAAATAAAATACTAAAAAGGCTGGGGATATGATTCAGTAGTTAAGTATCCCTGGGTTCAATCCCCAACATCCCCGACACACACACACACACACACACACACACACACACACACACACACACACGGTTAGGTAATTATACTTCAAAAAAATTATTACCTTAAAAAAATCCAAACAAATAAAATGTTGAAGTGTTTTGGTTAGCGCCTTCAAAACGTATTTAAAATTATAACATCTTTATAATAAAAGCTAAAAGATAGCTACAACAAAAATTCCATGGTAATAATAAAAAAGGACAGTGAAAAGCAAAATTCTTTTACCTTATTTATGATTTTGCTACTAGAAATTAAAATATAGCATAAATTAATTTAAAAATAGTTTGCTCTGAATGAGGATGCTACTAATTTTTTTAATTATATGAAATAGCCAACAAAACTTGTACCAACTTCCTAAAGTTATAAAGTTGTTTTCCAAGCCATTACAAACTTTATGATGAATACTCTGCTGAAGATGCCTGTAGCATTTTCCAATTCCCCTTGAAGATGACAAAGGGATAAAGGAAGTTTTCAGACAATTCAAGAGTACAAGACTACTTCAGATAAAAATGATATGAACTGATGAAAGTGGTCCTTACCAAGAGCAATGGGGCAAGCCTCTGTGCTTCTCTGGTGACAGGGTCAACGACAGCCATAACATCAAAGTACGTCTCCCCTTCCTTTGGCCTCAGTTTAATTGCACTATGAAACATACAAATGATAAAACATTAACATGGAGGAAACAGGAAACAACTTTAAGTTATTGTGATGTTTTTGTTTTGGTTCAACATAACCTATTACCCTTCCAACATTTCAAAAAACTTTAGATCTGGAACAACTATACTACGATGCTGGCCAACCATAAGATTAATCTATTACTAAAGTTTATAAAACCCTGATAACTCAGGCTTACTCAAAATATTTTAAAGATGTATATGAAGAGAAGAAAACCAGCTTGAAACAGTATTTTTCCCCAAACTGCTAAAAGCTACTTTTGTTAGGTTCTACAACTATTGGAACATCACGCTGATTTTTACTTCCTGGCAAAAAGAGTATGAGGAAAGAAGAAATAAATCATTTTTAAAAGTAATAGAACTGGGGATGCAGTTCAGTGGTAAAGTACTTGCCTAACATATGTGAGGCCCTGGGTTCCATCCCTACTATCACAAAAATAAATTAACTAAAAAGAACATAAGAAGATTCCAAAAATCTGCAAAACCGAGAAAAAGAAAAAAATGCAATCACAAAAACCTCATTATCCCAATGACTAGCTGCATTTCTATGTAATCCTTTTTAGATACTTATATGAAAATTAGTTCTAAGTATAGACTTAGGAAATTTAAAATAATTTCCTCCAACCCCAACCACTTCAACATAAATATTTCCACATATTGTTACACACCAAGCATCCTGAATAAGAAATGATATTTTATTTACCAAGTGAAACTGCCACAGTTTATTACTCTTCAATGCTGAAAATTTAGACAGCTTTCAACCTATAAACAGTCTGTATAGACAGCTTCTCCATATCTGCAAAGTTCTTTAGAATCAAAGAAGATCTAGACAGAAGATTATGGGGTCATGGGATACAAATATCTTTGTGACTAGTGTTAAACTGCTTTTCCTGAAGATCTATAGTAATATGCAAGGCAAAACAATGAATCACACCACATCTTTGTTAGAATTAAGTTATACATATTTTGTCTGTTCTTATAGCTGGTCACTCTTTGGTTTTCTAGAAAGAATATACATTTATTCACATAAAGCTTCCTGTTACAACGTTTCCCTCTGAAGTCACACTGACTTAGGTGACTCAAGAGAAGCAGGGCCCTCTAATGAAGTTTAAAAATTTGAATAGATTTAAACTTCACCCAATTTTTCAAAATGACTGGTTTGGTTTTGTTTAACCTGGTAAGTATATTCTTGTGGTTCAATGCTGATCTCTACTCTTATATGCAAGAGCATTTACTCAGTGGGATGAAAACAAAAGTATAACACAAAGCAGAACATAATTATTACAATTGGGTAATAATTAGATGCTGATGAAGTTATTTCAAATTTTAAGTGATTTGGAAATAATAATCACTTTAGAATAGCTTGTCATGCAGCAGACGCTTGCAATCTCATAATATTAACAACTTCAGATTCAATCACTTACAATGATTATTCCAATACAACAAAACATTTTTACCTTAATGTAGTTATTCTCAAAATGTGGCTCCAAACCAGTCGCATCAGCCCCACCTGGACATTTGCTAGAATCAAACTTTCTGGCTCCCACCCAGATTTATTCAGTTAGAAACTCTGGGGGCAGGTCTAACAATCAGCATTTTTAAAAGCTTCTGAATAAAAGCCAAAATTTGAGTGCTACTGCACTAATATAATTTGCAATTCTGTGCTACTTTGTAATCCTAGCAGAAAAGCTCATTAGAAAATAGCATTATAAGGCTGAGATTGTGGCTCAGTGGCAGAGTGCTTGCCTCGAATGTGTGAGGCATTGGATTCAGGGTCTCACCAGCACAATGATCTGCAACAGGCATGCCCAGCCAATGATCCTGTGAGGGCCTTTAGGCACCCCCACACTATACAACAAGAAAAGGGCAAGAGAAAACGAAAGAAGAGAGGAATGTTGGTGTGCAAATGGGAACAATATAAACTAATAATATTAAATTTAAATATACTTGCAGTATTAGTAAGAGAAAAGCCAGGAAAAAAGCCAAACATGATAGAGGAACAAGATTTCGAGATTTTATATATATATTTACTTAGAGTGAGTAAAGCAAATATCCAAGAATACTGTGTTTCACTAATGATGATATTCACAAGCATGGACCACACTGTGACAGTAAGGGTATACAAACTTATGGTCCAGACCTTTTCATTCTAGCATAAATGAGAAATTTCTGATTTAAATATGAAAAACATTCATTTAGCTAAGACAACCCCAATAAGAATTTCTCTATTATAATTTGTATTGTAATAAAATTTGTAATTAGGGCACTTTAATTATATAAAACTCATGGAGAAAAGGATATAGATAATATATTATTATCAAGAAGTATGCAGTGTTGAAAAGATGGGTGCAAAGTGGGTGCAATCTGGCTGCTAGTGGCAAAATTCCATGAGGGTTAGATGGGAGGTGCAGAAGTCTCCACCCACAATTAGGAGGCACATCCAATGCAAGCAGAGAGGGGATCAGTCCCAACCTGCCATCATCAGACAATCTAATCCCCACCAGAATTGGCTGTGAGAAATCACAAGTGACTACACCAACCAATCCATGCCAGGTAAATCAGGTCAGAATCACACAAGAGAAGCACACATAGAGTCATATTTAAAGCCTTCCTGGGATTCTAAGATGCAACCACATTACATACTTTCCAGGCAATTGTACAGTTCTCCCCAAAAACAATTTAGTCTAAGTGGAATCACAAGGGAACAACCAGACTCTAGAACATTCCACAAAACAAAAGACTTGGATTCTTAAAAAATGTCAATGTTGGGGCTGGGGTTGCGGGTCAGCAGAAGAGTGCTCATCTAGCACACGTGGGACACTGGGTTCGATCCTCAGCATCACATATAATAAAATGAAGGTACTATGTCCACTTATAACTAATATGAAAAAAAAAAGCCAATGTCATAAAAGACAATAGTCCCCCCTCCCCCCCCCAAAAAAAGGGGGAGGGGGACTCTTCTGGACTAAAAGAGACTAAAAGGAGAACTAACTGCAACGTGTGTAATTAAGATCAAAACAACAACAAAAGCACTTGTGAAAGGTCATTACTGAGACACTATAGAAATGTAAATAAGGATTGTGTATTAACATTACTGCATCAAAGTTAAATTTCTGAGGTAGCTATCAGTACTGTGGAAGACATTCCTGTATTCAGGAGATTCATGCACACACACATATGCCTATATGTACAAAAAAATAACATGGTCACAAATATATATATATAGGTGTTCACATGAATTTGTTTATATGAAAACTGTACACCAAATCTTCCATTTTTATAACAACTTTTACACAAACCTGATATAGAAAAATAAAGGTAAAGGTAAGCCTAAGAGTTTAATATGCAAGAACATGTACAAATTCAACATTAATTCTATACCTGTGTCTGTCTTCAAAAAACCGGTACTCAATTCTTGCATCTCCTTTGGGTTGAGCTGACAGGAGAGCATCCACCTTCATTACCAAGTCACTTGCCCTGAAAGAAGAGATTAAGGAAATCTTACCATTAGTTTAACCATAGGTTTTCTAATCATTGTTAAACACATCACCAGCCCAAATACTGAATGCTGACCAGGATGGTTTAAAGAAGACATGAGGGGCTGGGGTTGTGGCTCAGAGGTAGAGCACTCGCCTAGCATGCGTGAGGCACTGGGTTCAATCCTCAGCACCACATAAAAATAAAATAAAGGTATTGTGTCCATCTACAACAAAAAATTAAGAAGGCATGAACTCACACCAACATGCATTAAAAAACAGTACTGATTTTGTAAGTGATTAGGTGGATGGCCTTGAGGACATTACTTATTTTTTGCATATATGAAGTACAGAGCCCAACTCTGCAGGACTCTTGTAAATACTGTGCTGACTAAACATATCAAGCACTTTGCACAGTGCCTGATTCATGACAGGTTGTCAATATTATTTACAAAACAAAAAAAAAGTTCCTTCACTGGCTTTTAAATGATGTTATTACTTTCTGTGAATATTAGAGTAATAATTCACTAGAAAAACATTGAGAGAAATACAAAGGAGAACATGAGATTACACATAATAATCACCATCAAAAAATTAGTTATGATACTGTAACTCATAATTCTTTTTAAATATATATGAACAAAAGTGGGATTATATTTGATAACCTAACTTTTCCTTAAAAATACATCATAAAACCTTTTTATTAGTTAATAAATACAAGGATATATTTTTATTTCAAAAACTGTATTATAATATACTATACATATATCATAATCTATTAAACCAAGCAGCTATTAAACATGTATGTTGTTGCAATCAACACTATAGTGAACAATTTAGAAAAGTATTTGTTTTCCCTACTTCTTCTAAAGTTGACTTCTTTATTTTTGTGGTACTGGTGGATGAACCCACGGCCTTCAGTATGCTAGGCAAGCACTCTACTACTGAGCTACACCTCCATCCCTAAACTTGATTTCTAACCAAGAAAGATCTTGAACTACATCAGGAGCCTAAATAATCTTTTATTTAAGACTTTCTTTTTTTTTTTTTAAAAAAAAAAAAGCACTTGTGACTATATTTCTACTGTAAACAAGTTTATATATTTTTATTTGAACAAAAGAACTATATCAGATTAGCTTTTTTGGTTTAATTTTTCAATACTAATTCTGAATACAGATAGAACAGGCTATTTTCTGCCTGTGATACTTTAACATGGTCACAAAACAGGGCAAGGGACACCCAGTTATGTGGGATGGTGTGAGAAGGTTAACAAGTAATTCCCTAAAGGTTCACAAAGTACCACAGATAAAGAGTACACAGTCAAGCTTCAGAAGGCTCAGAATAGCCTTATGGCTTTAGGTTTGGGTTATGAATGCAAGCTGTGGCTGTAACAGAGCAGCCACTCCAAAATGAAACTGCTTTGGTGCTAATAAAAACCCTACACCGGCAAGGGAATTCTGAGACTCTGAGTTTTAGTATCAATTTCCTAGAAGCTCCATGACTACCTTATTTCTCTAAATAGGGATGACCAGACCCAGGGTCATTTCCTTTTGGCAAAAGGTGAGTCTTATAGGAAGAGTCTGGCAATGATACAGTCTACAAAGACATAAGGAGCTCCCCAGAAAGCAGCCACAGAGAGAGGGATTGCTCCAAAGGCATGCCAAACCAAGTCTAGGTGTGACACGGTTGCTTTAATGCATGAGGTATCTCCTGGTTTGCATAAGGGAAGCATTTCATAGCCTGGGACAAGAGGCATCACTCAAGAGCCACTGAGGTAGGAGGCAGGAGGGAACTTCTTTCTCTATAGCCCTGGTATTGGTCAAGATGAAAAAAACATTTATTTCCAGGGTTGGGGATGCGGCTCAGTGGAACAGCAATTTGTCCGGCATGCATTAGGCCCTGTGTTTGATCCTAGGTATCATTTTTAAAAAAGATATCTAGAAGATATCATGTAATCTAGAAGATTACATGAGACTTGAAAAATAGACTACTCTGGCAGTTATCAAAGTCAAATGTCACTAAAATGTGAATCTTGAACTCTGCAGCAAGATGGTACATGAAAAAGATGAAGGAAAAATAAGACAACTTTAAAATCTTATATCATCCAACTATGATTCAAAGAATACTACCAAAAGAGTGAAAAAGCAACCCATAAAATGGAGAGAAGGGCTGGAGATGTGGCTCAAGCGGTAGCGCTTTCACCTGGCATGCCTGCGGCCCGGGTTCAATCCTCAGCACCACATACAAAGATGTTGTGTCCGCCGAAAACTAAAAAAATAAATATTATTAAAAAAAATAAAAGGGCTGGGGGTGTGGCTCAGTGGTCGAATGCCCCTGAATTCACTCCCTGGTACAAAAAAAAATAAATTAAAATCGAGAGAAAATATCTGCAATACATGTACCTAATAAGGAACTGACATCAGAATATATCAAGAATTCCTACAACTAAACAATAACAAAAAACCAAACAGCCCAATTAAATATAAGCAAAGAATTTAAGTGACACTTTCCCAAAGATATTCAAATGATCAATCTGCATGTGAAAAGACATCAAACATCATTAAAGATTACAGAAATGCAACTCAAACTGCTAGGAAATACCACTTCAAACCTATTAAGATGGCTATTAAAACCACACACATACACACACACATTTAAAAAAAAAAAAAAGGGACTAACAAGTGTTGATGAGGATTCGGAGAAACCCTTATGTGTAGGAATATAAAATGGTGCAGCCACTGAGGAAAAAGGTAGCTGAGGATATAGCTCAGTTGGTTGAGTGCTTGCCTTGCATGCATAAGGCCCTGGGTTCAATCCCAAGCAATACACACACAGACACACACACACACACAGACACACACAAATAATAATAATAATAAATATAAAACTTATATTAAAACAATTAAATATAGAGCTACATCCTCAAAATACACATACATGTGATATTTAGTGTAGAAATCAGGTTTGTATGACAACAAGCTCCAGTTATATAGCAGGAACATGGTCCTTTCAAATACTTTTTTTCTTTCATTAAGAGAAATAACTCACTAAAATACATTAGTTAATAAGCATTAAAATAATTAAAATAAAAAGCCAACAATAACCAACATCACTTTTGGAGAATGCAAGAGCAACAACTCTGTATTCTGTACTGGGGGTGGGGGGAGGAGAGGAAAAGAAGTATTTAACCTGCCTTTCCTCACCTGAACAAAATAAAACTGAAGGAAAATAAAATAAGATTAAATAAGAAAGTCTCTCTTTCTGTAGATATTCCAAGAATAAATAAGCTATGTCTACATATCAAAAGTTTGACAACATACCAGAATCAAAAATAAATAAAACTGGGAGAATTCAGTTCTTTAAATAGCAGCCTGTGAAATAAATTAGCTGTTTTAACAGAAAGATAAATTAAAACATGAGGATTATTACAATTTAAAGCCAGAAATAAAACATCTTGGACTAGGTAGTGAACAATATATAGTGAGAAAAGTCTAATTAATATAAACTCTATATCATGAACTAATTTCTCTATGACTAAACTTACACATCTTCTTCTACTCGAAGCTGCTGAATATGAGATTTTATTTTCTGCCCAGAAGTTTTCAAAATGATATTTTCTAGGAGGTGGAAATCATCTTGGTTAAAAAGCTCATTGTCCTCCAGAGGCCCAATGATCTATGAGGAAAAGAAGAGTAGGTGGTCAGAGCAGACAAGCCATTCATCATCAGCAGCTAAGAAGCCCCTCTACTGTCCTCAGGCTATCTCATACACCAAATGCCTTAGACCCAAGGCAGGTACAAACCAAAAAAAACTGAAAAAATAAAAAGAAAAGCATGAATCATGAATCAACTCATAGTTTTGTGTTTACTTATTAATGTCTCAGGCACATAGATTATACATGGATGTGTTTCACATTATTTTACAGTAAGCAAATTCCAGAGTAAAGTAGTAATGTAATGTAGTCTTCACCCATTCTCACCAAATATCAGTAATAAAGCCTACTTCTGTGTATCAAAGTTGTACTGAGTTGGGTTCTGAGAGCCACCACACTCTCACTACTTCCCACAGTCAAGACACAAACAGCAGAAGGTTCTATATCCAAAAGCACACTTCCCTGAAAACAGGAGCAAAAATATCACTGGCACCTCAGAAGCCCTAATCACCTTTGGAAAGAAGGTGGCTCTGTTGGAAGAGTTTACTAGGTCAGAGGAGCATGCTGCAAAGAGTGTTCGTGGACCTAATGTGAAGTCAAGCTTGTCTCAGCTTGACAGATCCTCACCCTTCCATTGCTGATCACTGCCCTCTGTCCTTTCTTCAGCTTCAGAACATCCCTGCAGTACACGGCGTGAGATAAAATGAAATCCATTTTGGAAGACTCAAAGACCTCTTTAAAAAGACTGAAATCCATGCCCTAGGGAAGTAATCATTTTTAAGGAAAAGTCATTGTTACTAAGCAAGCCATGATGAGTAATCAATGAATAAACCATAAAATGCTCTTTTATGACAAGTGAATTTCAAAATTAACATTATGTCTCAATTCTCCACTCCCCCCCCCAATAAAATACCCATTCCTTTCTCCTATTCTATCATGTAATTTGTTCAATTGGCAGTCTGTTTTCCATACCTTTACTTTGCATTTTTAAATCTTGTTAATTTCAAGAGAGAGCTATTTTCTCTAACTGAAACTCAGTATATCTAGCATCTTATAAGAAATTTTAAAACCACAAACACTGTCAAAAATAAGTATCATTAACTAAATGAATAAATGCTGGCTTTTATTAGAAATATATCAAGAACAGAGAAGCCTGTAACTCATAAGTGGCTCAAATCTCCATTTCTTTTACTTTATAAACAAATCAAATATTGTCTGTCTTTCAAACTGAATAAAAGGCATTGTCTCTGAAACGTAGGCAAGTTTAAAAGCTAAAGGGAGGAGATGTAGCTCAGTGGCAGAGTGCTTGCCTAGCCTATTCAAGTCCCTGGGATTGATCCTCAGAACAGGGGGTGGGGAACAACAGTAGGGTTGCATCAGAATCATTTCTTAGAAAGATTCTTCTAAATTAAAGAAAAAAAAAGTCCTTTGAGACACGAGCTAATCACAAATCCTGATATTGAATAGGACACATAAGCCCAAGGGAGTGAACAGCTATGGCAGAACAGGGAATGCATGGAGCCTTACCCCAACAGAGAACTCCCCAATGTCAGCTCCTATGGCTAGGGCCTCTGCTGTCTCCTCCTTGGCCATTTTGGTGATGAAGTTCTTAGCAGAGTTGGAGGTCTGAGTCTGGAGAGCTGCCCAGATTGCTCTGGAGATCTGAGTGTTCTCATAATTTATCTCTTCACTTGGATTATTGATCATGCTTATCCTAACATTGTTACTAGATTTCTATTCACAAAATGGAATAAAGAAGTATGAGGCAGATGCTTCAGACTTAAAAAGCAGCATTAACACCAATCATAAGTTCTCTAAGAGCGAAATAACTGCTCCCTTAAAAGTCCTCAGTAGTTCTCCTCCGTGTTCAGAATGAGATTCGGATGCTAGACACATCTTCAAAATCCTACATTAACTGGCCCAAATCTTCCTTTCAAACCTAATTTCTTACCACCCCTGTAATACAGCAGACATTACAGACCATCAGAACCTGATTTTCCCCAACACATTTTACATTCTTCTAACAAACATCATGCCTCAGGCTGGCCTGTGGACCTCAACTTCATTCCATCTTTTCTCCCATAAGTTCCAATCACTCTTCAGGGCCTTGCTAAAATCTGTCTTCATGCATATGGTCTTTCTACCTGCCTACTAAAAACTAATCTTGCCTTGAGTAAAAAGATAGGAATCAACGTGGAAGAAGATATCTGGAACCCATAAAACCTAAAATGGGCTTGTATCAAGAATATACGCAACATAAATTCTTATGTATCAAAAGACACACATAAGAATATTCATAGCTTCATTCTTCACAATGGCCCCAACTAAAAACTTAGTTGCCCCTTAAACCGTTTACACAAAGAACAAAATTTTGTGGTACAGCCATTAAGATATAATACTACACAGAGAAAAAGAACTAAATATCACCGAGCAAAGAAACCAATTATAAACAAATCCATATACTAAGATTCCAGTTAAATAAAGAAAAACACAGATAGATGTTCTGTGATGTGAGAAGAGGGAACAGAGCGGGTAGTGACTGGGGAATTGGTGGGGGAGGGATTTCAGGAATTCAAGAATTCTCTATTTCTTGATCTGAGTAGCAGTCACATGGGTGACACAGTATCCTATGATTTGAGCACTTATTAATCTTTATTTTACCTCAATAAAAATATGTTTTGAAACGGTATTCTCCTTCCCAGTTCTCCTACTCAAATACCATCTGAGTGGTTCATCAGCTTGTTAGAGTGCCTCATACATAAATCACCTTTCACTAGAACTGCCTCTGACTTAACCTTGCACAATAGACGTACTTGGCACCATAATAAAATTGAAATCATCTATGTACTTCCTTATTTCAGTAAGCCTTTCTGAGGGCACGGGAAGGAAAGGAGACACAAAGAGGGTAGTGAAGTCTGAATGAAGCTGCAAATTCAAATAGTTCAGGTAAAATAATTTTGACCCCTCATCCTCTGACAACAGTACTCTCTAGAAGAAAGCTTCTTGTCAACCACTCAGCATTGTCATTCACTCAAGTCCTTCTTCTCATATGCAACATCTTTCAGAGCATCTCTGTGAATATTCCTCTGTGTAACTTGATCTACTTTTCTGAAAAGTTGGCCTCTCTTGAATCTCTCTCTGTGATACACAAAATCTCCGTAGCATCTCTGGAGCAAGAACACAGTCACCCAAGAGAAACTTGTCTGATATGGTCTCACTAATTTTTTTTTTCCCTAAAAGAATGTATTCCTTTAAATAAAGCCAGGACGCTATAGTCTTTGATCTCATTTCTTAGGAGCTGACAGACCTCTGAAGACCTAACACTCTTTCCCCTCAAGCACTAAGCAAGCAGGGCTCCCAATACCCATCAGAATGATCACATCAGCACAGAGACACCTAGGAGCACAACTGCAGTCTCAAACAAAATTACAAAATGAAGTCATAGGTACTTGCCTGATGTTTGATAGCATCATACAATAACTGCCTTCCAGAAGGAGTATCAAAATCTCCAACAATCCAGAAAGTTACTGGCCTGATAAAAGAATCATCTGTAAAAACAAACAAACAAACAAACAAAAAATAGCAAACTGAATTGAAAGAAAAAAAGCACATCTTAGCATATTGTTACGAAGCCAAATAATTTCTAAAAACCATGCAAAAGTAAGAAAATGACCAGTTTAATAAAGATACAAAGCAAAAATAGTGAAACTTCTCTACTAAAATGAAAGCAGAGTAAACTTTCAAGTGGCTTAATTAGAAATGAAGAACATGCACTGATTAATTAGGAGGTCTGGGGATTTGTTAACATATAGAATGAAACATGTGAGTAACACAGAATAGACTCTAATCACATCAACTGATAACTAGAAACTATTATGCTCTGCAAAAAATTTTGCAAAATTTCTCTGCATTAATATAGCCTATTGTTACCACAGGTTCCAGCAACATCATATAAAGTGTCAATAAATTTTGAATAACAATAGTCTCTGAAGATAATTAAGAAAAAGAATAGAACATTCTGAAGTTTTGAGTTACCATAGATTTCCTTGGAGGACATTCCTGGACAAAGGTGAAGGAAAAAAGTAGAAGAAAAACAAAATGTCATTTCTATAATTAATGCCCACTATAAGAGTCAAAAGATTAAATGATGGATAACACGATCTCTGCTTCTTTCAGTTCTTTAATCTCTTCAGTGCTACAGCACTGTCCCAGGACCACTGAAACAATTTCTTGGAGGAACCTAGTAGGGTGGTTGCCTGTACTCATATATACTGAGGAACCAGAAATCCTCCCTAGGAGAAGATCATCACAGGGATAAATATGGAGCTATGTTAAATGATAGGCATTGCTTTTTTGAAAGGATAGTAAATATGAACAGAGAGGGAAAGAATCTCCCTGCTAGTGAAAAAGCATTATTTTACACAGTCTTAGCTTAATTAAGCAACTCTACATTTTTAAAAAAATCAGTTTAAAAAATTTACACCAGTCTTTCTAGAACCTAGTTTATCTTATAAACTCTAAAATAAAATTACTCTATGGTGTCACTGAAGAGGCAAGTAAAAACCTATTTTCAATCCATTAACCCATTTTTATATCATATTTTCCCATTTTGAACCTTAAAGGATTTTTCCCTTTTAACTTTAATAGCTAATATAAAATTTATAAAGACAACATTTGAATTTTTAAACATATATAAAGAATTAAATTTTAAATAGGCATTTTCTATAGACTCAAAAAGTTAAAAGAAATTGTGAAATCTCTTTCCCCAGATATTAAGATTAAATTATGTTTGTAAATACCAAAACAACAAGAAAAAATATTAAATCCAAGATAAGCCCCAAATAAATTACCTTTCTTTGTCAGATAGTTCATACTATTAGCTAGAGCAGCAGTCTTGCCTTGGGAATCCAAGGCAGAAAATCTAGCATAATCATCYACAAAGAAGTTATCTGGGAAAAGAAAAAATGAAATAGATGTATAATTAATATACTTCAGTTCAATATACTGCTAATATTCAACTTATTACCTGCTTTGATCATAATAAGATGTATAAAAATACACGAGTAAAACATATTAAGTTCCAGGTGTACTGAACAAGTTCACAGCATGATCCCTACCCCATTGATCAAACTTTAAGACACAAAGTTAATGAGTCATGAACATGCCTCACAAATCTATCATGTATGCATATGCATCAGTTTAATGGTTTAAATGCATCCTGTTTCCACTGTCACTTTGCAACTCTTAGAGATCTCTTAGAGATCCTCTCAATTCATCTCTCCTTATTCTAGTTCATCACTAGAGTATACTCCTCTCTAGATCACAGAGGGAAGATATAAAGAAGAATCTGATTTTTACTTTCCATGTCTAAGAAAATAACATTTTTTCTCTAACCTTAACGGAAACAAAAAGTCATTTTCACTATTTTTAAGTAAGTATTTTCTTCAATTACTTCCCAAAGGTAGCATTCTTATTATCATGGTTAATGAGATCACTCCTGCTAAGACCTCAGTTTCATCAAGTCATTCCCTTGCTGTAAACTACCGAGTAATTTCTTCCCATAAAATAGTCTGTTGTCTACTATGATAAAAAGACTGCCTCAAGCAATCTACCCCACCTTAATTCCTATTACAACATAATACACACACCTTTCCCCATTACTGTTCTCCAAGAACACCTGCTTGCCCACTTACCTATCTACTTGTCTGTGCACCCACTAACCCATCTATTTTTTCACTCAAGAAAGTACTCTGAAATGAGATGGACATCATAACTCTAGGTACATTTTTGATGGCACATATAGTACAACTTTACATCATATACTACTAGAGAAATGAGAAGCTATGCTCTGTTTGTGTACAATGAACCAAAATGCATTCTCCTATCATGTATAAATAATTAAAACAAGTTAAAAAAAAGAAAAAAAGAAAGAAAAGAAAGTACCTTGATAGTCACTTTCACCACTTCTATTCAACATAGTTCTGGGAACTGTAGTCAGAGCAATAGAAGAAAGAAATTAAAGGGATACGAATAGGAAAAGAAGAATTCAAACCATCACTATTTGGGGGTGACATAATTCTATATTTAGAAGACCCAAAAAACTCCACCAGAAAACTTCTAGAACTCATAAATGAATTCAGCAAAGTAGCAGGATATAAAATTAACACCCATCAATCAATTATGTTCCTATACATCAGTGATAAATCAACTAAAAGAGAAATTAGGAAGACTATTCCCATTCACAGTAGCCTTAAAAAATAAAATATTTGGGAATCGATCTAACAAAAGAGATGAAGGGCCTTTACAATGAAAACAAGAGAACACTAAAGTAATTGAAGAGGACCTTAGAATATGGAAAGATCTCCCATGTTCTTGGATAAGCAGAATTAATATTGTCAAAATGGCCATAGTACCAAAAGTACTATACAGATTTAAAGCAATTCTAATTAAGGTTCCAATGACATTCTTCATAGAAATAGAAAAAAACAGTCATAAAATTCATTTGGAAAATAAGAGGCCCAGAATACCCAAAGCACTCCTCAGCAAGAAAAGTGAGGCAGGAGGCATCACAATACCAGACCTTAAATTATACTACAGAGCTACCGTAACAAAAACAGCATGGTATTGGCACCAAAACAGACATGAAGACAAATGGTACAGAATAGAAGACACAGAGACAAACCCACATAAATACAGTTATCTCATACTAGACACAGGAGCCACAAACATACATTGAAGGAAAGATAGCCTCTTCAACAAATGGTGCTAGGAAAGCTGGAATATTCATATGAAACAAAATGAAACTAGAACCCTATCTCTCACCCTACACAAAACAACTCAAAGTGGATCAAGGACCTAAGCATTAGACCARAGATCCTGCACCTATTAGAAGAAAAAAGTAAGCCCAAATCTCACCATATTGGATTAGGTACTGAATTTTTCAACAAGACTCCTAAAGCACAAGAAGAAAATCAAGAATCAATAAACAGGATTTTATCAAACTAAAAAGCTTCTTCATAGCAAAGGAAACAATCAAGAACGTGAAGAGAGAGCCTCCAGAATGGGAAAAAAAAAAWTTTGCCACTTGCACCTCAGATAGAGCATTAATCTCCAGGATATATAAAGAACTCAAAAAACTTAACCCCCTGCACCCCAAGACAAATAATGCCCAATCAATAAATGGGCAAAGAAACTTAACAGGCACTTCACAAAAGAAGAAATATGACTGGTCAACAAATATATGAAAATAATGTTCAACATCAGTAGCAATTAGAGAAATACAAATTAAAACTACACTGAAATTTCATCTCACTCCAGTCAGAATGACAACTATCAAGAATACGAGTAACAACAACTATGGTGAGGATGGGGAAATAGTTACACTCCTACATTGCTGGTGGAACTGCAAATTGCTGCAGCCACTATGGAAAGCAGTATAGAGATTCCTCAGAAAACTTGGAATGGAAACATCATCTGACCCAGTTATCCCACTCCTGATCATATACCCAAAGGACTTAAAATCAGCATACTACTGTAACACAGCCACATCAATGTTTTACAGCAGCTCAATTGACAATAGCTAAGCTATGGAAATAACCTAGGTGCCTTTCAACAGATGAATGGATAAAGAAGATGCAGCACATATACACAATGGAATATTATTCCACCATAAAGAAGAATGAAATGCTGACATTTGCCTGTAAATGGATAGAACTGGAGAACATCATGCTAAGTGAAATAAACCAATCCCAAACAACAAAGGCCAAATATTCTTTCTCATATTTGGATGCTAACACAATAAGTGGGCAGTGGAGTGTGGGTGGGATAGAAGTTCACTGGATTAGATAAAAGGGAATGAAGGGAAGGGAGGATGGAAAAAACAGTAGAATGAATCAGACATAACTTTTCTATGTTCATATATAAATACACAACAATGTAACTCCACATTATGTAGAACCACATAAATGGGAAGTTGTACTATATGTTTGTATGATGTCAAAATACATTCTACTGTAATGTAAAACTAAGAGGAACAAATTTAAAAATTTTTTTGAAGCATCCTGATTGTCTTATACTGGCAAACATGTCGCATGACATCACACATCAGGGTAGAGAAAGAACACCACAGTCTTAAAGCAAGGATCCTTTTTGTTATGGTTTGAATCTTAAAAATGTACTCCAAAGGCTTCTATSTTAAAGACTTGGTTGTCAACCTGCGGTGCAACTGGGAGGTGGTGGAACCTTTAGGAGATGGGGCCAAGTGAAAGGAAGTTAGATGATTGGGACACTTGAAGGTGATATTGGGACCCCAGGCCTTTCCCATCTTGTTTTGCTTCCTGCCACTAGGAAATGAGCAGTGTTGCTCCACCATTCACTTCCCAATAGAGTGTTCTGCTTGCTACAGGTCCAAGAACAACAGAGCTAACTGACCACGGAATACAACTTTTGAAACCATGAGCCAAAATAAACCATTCCTCCTTTTTAATTTGGTTTTCTTAGGTATTTGGTCACAGGTGACAGAAATCTGACTAATACTCTTCTTAAAAGGTCCCAATCAGTAAAGACCAGAGAAGATTAGGTGAAGGTCAGGAGGATGCCAGTGCCTGCTCACTAATATCTGCACTTGCTTCAAAGTGCAAATTGCAGCTATGCCATTGCAGACCAGCACTCTTCCACAGCTCATCACTACACCCTTTGGTGGAAAAGGAAATCCCCAAACCCCCAACTGCTACCATGCTCCTTATGCATAGATACTCCAAACACTGCCCTTCAAATCTAATTAAAAATGATAAAACAACAAAGCTCAGAACAAAGAATGGTAGGTAATACTGCTTGCCTTGCTCTACTAAAACTTGTGCTAAAACCCAGACACAGTGGCACATGCTTGTATTCCCAGGGGCTTGGGATATCCTGAGTTCAAAGCCAGCCTCTGCCAAAGCAAGGCGCTAAGCAACTCAGTGAGGCCCTGTCTATAAATAAAATACAAAATAGGGCTGGGGATGTGGCTCAGTGGTCAAGTGCCCTGAGTTCAATCCCTGGTACCACACACAACAACCCCCCCCAAAAAAAACTTCTAGTAAGAAGCTAACACAGTTCACTTTTTGAGCAGTTTCTTTTTAACATATAAGCATATGTTTATTTTTCCTCTGTGTGTTATGTTTATGCATATAAATACATTATATTTTTCAAATAAGCATAAATTTACATTTTTTTCTACCTAAAAGGAAAGAAATTCAGTCTCAAGTAGATTAGTCATAAGAACTATAAATAGATTTGCATTTTAATTATACCCAAATACACCAACAAATACACTTGGTTATGATTTCACCTATCTTTCCTTCCCCAGCGATGATGACAGCTTCACCTTATTTATAGGTGTTTGCTGAAGTGGCCTGCAGAGTCCCAGTGGAAAGAATAAGAAACAAACTGCATGACGGCATAATCAAGTTCTTAAAAGGTATTGCTATGGAAAACATCTAATATCTATCAACTGAGGAAAGGGTGGAATAGTCCACAAAATGGAATATTTAAGCCACTAAAAAGGAATGAAATATTTACTGATATGCTACAACATAGAAGAGCTACAGAAATATGCTAAAGGAAAAATGCCAAGCACAAAAGGCTTCCAATAATAAAATGTCCAGAATAGGAAAAACAGGAACTGGGCTGCCGGGGGACAGGAAGAGTGGGGGGTGGACAGTGGCCCATGGGTTCTTCTCGGGCGATGATAATGTTCCAAAGTTAGATAGTGGTGATGACCGCACAGCTTTGAGAATGAACTAAAAACCATAAAGTTGTGCACTCCAAAAGGCTAAACTGTGGGATGGGGATATAGCTCAACGGTAAGGAATAGCCTAGCAAGTGTTAGAACCTGGGTTCCATCTTTAGGAAGACCAAAAAAAAGGTTGAGTTTTACAGCATATACATTATACCTCAATGAAGCTGCTATATTTTTTAAAGGTATTCTTATGTTCTCAGAGTAAAATCTTTGGAGATATTTGTTGACATTACAAATGACTAAATCTAGAGAATTAAGAAACCTCAACTGCTATTTGACTGTAAGAATGCCAATAAGTTGGTATTTAAGTGGCACTGAATGTTTTCCAAAGATAAACTTTCTGGTTTTACCTAGGAAGAATTCATCTTCTTTAGATGAGAATTCTTATGAATTTGAAAGCTCATATTATGAACTCAAGGTGCAATGAGTTTAAAAAATCAAATTGTGTTATAACCTTGGGTTATCTTATTAACATTACAGTCTAATAAATGAAAAGAATTTGAAGCACAAATCAAAAATCCAAAAGTTGTTCCTGAAATGCTCCTTACTATTTGCTGTTAAATCCAGGTACTCTCGCTCAGCTGTCAAAATCCTGGAATTGATTCGTGGAACAACATTCGGCTGATTCATGATATACTCTACCACATCTTGATCGTGGGACAGTTCACCCTATAGTAAAAAAATAAACAGAGGGGACAGGGGTGTTATGCAAATATCTCCGATAATAATTCACTAGGAAGTAAAAAACTATCAGCTTGATAATAACTTCTTTGTGTTGATAACAGCTAAAGACAGAAGTTACATGTCATTGCCAAGCATAGATAGATAGGTGTTTTATGTGCAGAATCTCTAACTACATCACCAATGTGAGGTAGATGTTATTAACATTCATTTTAAAGATCAGAAGACTAAGGCACAGAAAAGTTAAGCAACTTACTAAAAGTTACAGAGCTAATAAGAAGAGAGTATGAAATGCAAACGTTCTCTCTACATACTACTGTGCTTCCTCAGAGAAAAAGCAAGCACTTCAAATCAGTTAAGAGTTAACATAAGCAGGCCCAGTGCAGTGGCTCACACCTGTAATTCCAGCAACTTAGGAGGCTGGGGGAAAGGGATCATAAGTTTGAGGCCAGCCTCAGCAATTTATTAAGACCCTGTCTCAAAATAAAAAATAAAAAAGACTGGGAACATAGTTAAGTGGTAGAGCATCCCTAGGTTCAACCCATAGCACCAAGTAGACACACAATAGAATGAACACAAGCAGAAATTCACTGAGATCTACTAATAGCTCCCTTTTTTCTAAAGGGAAAGTCAAAGCACTATTATCAATCAAATAATATGCTTTGTAATAAAATCGCTCGTAGCTTTTTTCAATCTCAGGAATTCAAGTAACCCTGCATCTCTTAAGTCATGATTACACAGGGAGGAGAAATCATCAGTCATTTAGTCAACTCTTTTGTGCATCTCATATTATAGAAATAATTGTATTTCTTAAAAGTGATCTTAGAGTTAGTAACTGGAAATCTGCAAAATTCATCATACTTAAAATATTCAATATAAAAGCACTTTTTAAAAAATTATTAATTGAATATAAACAAATCTAAAAACTCCCAATTAGATGTTGTTTGTGACTATATATCCTTACATTTATTTATGTATTTTGACGTTCATACCATCTATACTGCATATCTTTTTGAACAGTGAGTTTAGACCAAAATTTAAAATGTGCACTACTGTGACACACAGTTCTAATTCTTGGTATTCATTTTTAAAAGTGTACAAAGATATACATTTAGAATATTCACTGTAGCACTGTGAAAATCTAGAAGCACTGTTCAATATTAGGAGACAAAATAGATGATTATTCTTAAAATTGGGATGTACATGGCTAAAATGAATTGAAGGATGATATAAGAGAGAAAATACAGGCAGCAAAAGATCATTTCAAGAAAGAGCTAAATAAGGAAATACAGGAAGCAAAAGATGACTTCAACAAGAAACAGAAATCCTTGAAATGAAAGAAACAATAAACCAAATTAAAAGCTTAACAGAAGCATCACCAACAGATTAGATCACTTGGAAGACAGGCCCTCAGACAAAGAAGACAAAATATATAATCTTGAAAAGAATGTTGACCACACAGCGAAGATGGTAAGAAACCATGAGCAGAACATTCAAGAATTATGGAATAGCATAAAAAGACCAAATTTAAGAATTACTGGGATAGAGGAAGGCACAGATTTACAAACCAAAGAAATGAACAACCTATTCAATGAATTACTACCAGGAAATTTTCCAAACATGAAAAATGAAATGGAAAAATCAAATACGTAGAGGCTTACAGGATACCAAATGTACAAAATCAAAACAGATACACGCCAAGGCACATTATAATGAAAATACCTAGCATACAGAATAAGGAGAGAATTTTAAAAGTCACAAGAGAAAGGAGTCAGATTACATACAGGGGAAAACCAATTAAGATATCTACAGATTGTTCAACCCAGACCCTGAAAGCTAGAAGATCCTGGAACAACATATACCAAGCTCTGGAAGAAAATGGATGCCAATCAAGAATCTTATATACAGCAAAATTAAGCCTTGGATTTGATGAAATAAAAACCTTCCATGATTAAAAATTAAAAGAATTTACAACAAGAAAGCCTGCACTACAGAACATCCTTGGCAAAATATTCTGTGAGGAGAAAATGAAAAACAACAATGAAAATTAGCAAAGGGAGGTATTACACTAAAGTAAATACTAAACAAAGTCAAGTTAAATACCAAAAATAAATATGACCAGGAATACAAATCATTTCTCAATAATAATCCTGAATAATGGCCTAAACTCACCAATCAAAAGACACAGACTGGCAGATTAGATTTGAAAAAAGAAAAAAGACCCAACAATATGCTGCCTTCAAGAGACTCATCTCATAAGACAAAACACAGACTAAAGGTGAAAGGTTGGGAAAAATCATACCACTCACAGGGACTGCAAAAACAAGCAGGGATTTCCATCCTCATATCAAATAAAGTAGATTTCAAAATAAAGTTAAGCAAAAAGGATAAAGAAGGATACTTTGTACTGCTCAAGGCAACCATACATCAAGAAGACATAACAATTATAAATATATATGCCCCAAACAATGGAGCATCTATACCTTCATCAAACAAACTCTTTTCAAGTTCAAGAGTCAAACAGACCACAACACAATAATTCTGAGTGACTTTAACACACCTCTTTCATCACTAGATAGATCTTCCAAATAAAAGCTAAACTAAGAAACTATAGAACTTAATAATACAATCAGTAACTCAGACTTAACTAACATGTATAGATTATTTTATCCATCAATGAGTCAATACATTTTTTTCTCAGCAGCACATGGATCCTTCTCTAAAATAGACCACATATTATGCCACAAAGCAACTCTAAATAAATACAAAAAAATAGAGATACTAACCTGCATTACATCAAATCATAATGGAATGATATTAGAAATCAATGATAAAATAAAAAAATAGAAGCTTCTTGACACCTGGAGACTAAATAATATGCTATTAAATGAATAATGGGTTGCAAAAGATAACAAAGAGGATATTAAAAAGTTCTTAGAGGTAAATGAGAACATTGATACAACATATCAAAATCTCTAGGACACTATGAAGACAGTACTAAGAGGAAAGTTCATTCCACTGGCTCATTCCTTAGAAGAAAAAAAGTCAACAAATAAATGACCCAACATTCCACCTCAAAGTCCTAGAAAAAGAAGAACAAATCAACACCAAAAGCAGTAAAAGATAGGAAATAACTAAAATCAGAGCCAAAATCAATAATATTGAAACAAAAGAAACAACTGAAAAAATTGACAAAACCAGAAAGTTGGTTCTTTGAAAAAATAAATAAAATTGATAACCCCTTAGCCATGCTAACGAAGAGGAGACACAAAACTCAAGTTACAAACATCCATGATAAGAAGGAAATATGATAGACACTAAAGAAATATAGAAAACAATTAGAAATTATTTGGAAAATTTGTACTCCAATAAAATAGAAAATATCGAAGCATCGCCAAATTTCTAGAGTCATATGATTTGACCAAACTGAATCAGGATGATATATACAAATTAAACAGATCAATTTCAAGCACTGAAATAGAAGACACCATCAGATTCCTACCAACCAAGAAAAGCCCAGGACCAGAAGGATGCACAACTGAGTTCYASAACACCTTCAAAGAAGAATACCAATAAAGAGAGACTTCCAAACTCATTCTATGAGACCAATATCACCCTGATTCCAAAACCAGGCAAAGACATATCAAAGAAAAAAAACTTAAGAGAATATCTCTAATGAACATAGATGTAAAAATCCTCAATAAAATTCTGACAAATCAAATACAAAAACATATCAAAAAGATAGTGCACCACGATCAAGTGGGGCTCATCCAAAGGATAAAAGGTTGGTTCAACATACAGAAATCAATAAATGTAATTCATCACATCAATAGACTCAAAGATAAGAATCATATGATCATCTCAATAGATGCAGAAAAAGCATTCGACAAAATACAGCACCGCTTCATGTCCAAAACACTAGAAAAACTAGGGATATTAGGAACATATCTCAACATCCTAAAGGCTATCTATGCTAAGCCCCAGGCCAGTATCATTCTAAATGGAGAAAATTGAAAGCATTCCCTCTAAAAACTGGAACAAGACAAGGATGCCCTCTTTCATCATTTCTATTTAACATAGATAGGTCTTGAAACACTGGCCAGAGCAATTAGACAGATGAAAGAAATTAAAGGGACACAGATAGGAAAAGAAGAATTCAAATTAGTACTATTTGCCAACCATATGGTCTATACCTATAAGACCCATAAAATTCTACCAGAAAACTTCTAGAACTACTAGATGAATTCAGCAGAGTAGCAGGATACAAAATCAACACCCATAAATAAAAGGCATTCCTGTATACCAGTTACAAATCCTCTAAAACGGAAACTAGGAAAACTACCCTATTTATAATAGCATCAAAAAAATAAATAAATAAAATACTTGGGAATCACCCTAACAAAATTAAAACTACAGAATGATTAAGAAAGAAATTAAAGAAGACCTTAGAAGATGGAAAGATCATCCTTGTTCTTAGACAGAATTAATATTGTCAAAATGACCATACTACCAAAAGCACTATAAAGATTTAATGCAATTCCAATCAAAATCCCAATGACATTCCTCATAGAAACAGAAAGAGCAGTCATGAAATTCATCTGGAAAAATAAGAGATCCAGAATAGCTAAAGCCATCTTTAGCAAGAAGAGTGAAGCAGGTGGCATAGGAAAAGTAACAAAAATGGCATGGTACTGGCACCAAAATAGATTTGTAGACCAAAAATACAGAATAGAGGACACGGAGACAAACCCACATAATTACAGTTATCTCATATTAGACAAAGGCGCTAAAAACATATATTGCAGAAAGGATAGATAGGAAAACTCAAAATCCATATGCAACAAAATGAAATTAAGGCCCTATCTYTCACCATGCACAAAACTCAACTCAAAGTGGATCAAGGATCTACAAATTAAACCAGAGACACTGCATCTAATACAAGAAAAAGTAGGCCCAAAACTCATCATGTCGGATTAGGCCCTGACATA